TCAATCCAAAATGTAATTTCTTGGGAATTGCAAAACATTTTGTTTTTGAGATTACAGCACCAGCCATCACGAATCAAAAAAGTGTTTTAGGCAAAACTTATGTACTTTTTAGTGTAAAATCCAAATCTGTAATAAAAAAATGGAAGTTGCCATTTAAGATTTCAAATTTGCTTCCCCCACCCTCAGGGAGTGGGGGGGTTGATTTTCGGTCAGGCAGATGTTCCCCTTGGAGACATTCATTTTTTTGTCTGAGAATTGTTTTGATTCGATATGTATTTTTATAGTTATATCGATTTGTGCGGATAAATGAGACACACGATATATCGTATTTAAGATAATGTTTACAAATTAATGCCAACTACATTACGCTGTGTATTGGGCATATATAGTTAGCAGCACACCCTGCCACCGTAGTCGTCGACAAAATCCATATAGAATTAGAATGCCTTATAGCATCGATAACATTCAATATAAGTCTTTCGCTAAATGTGGTGGAATTGCAGGGCCCACTATTCCTTCGTGTTCGAATCTGTGCACTGGAAGTGGTATAAGCTAAGATACTTCACGGTATGTAAAATATCTCTATTTTCCTAGATTCCACAGCTGTAATTAACAGAAGATAATTTAGAAAAATCTGAATAAAATATGGACCACCATTTTCAATTCTAACTTCGCCTCCATACGTCTGTAAACTGTGGTGACAAATCATGGGATACCGCCTTATATTGTATCAGACTTCCTTTTGCACGGCGAAGTGCATCAACTCGATGTGGCATAGACTCAACAAGTCGTTGGAAGTTCCCTGCGGAAATATTGAACCATGCTCCCTTTACAGCCGTCCATAATTGAGAAAGGTTACCGGTTCAGGATTTTGTACACGAACTGACCTCTCGATTATGTACCGTAAATGTTCGATGGGATTCATGTCGGGCGCTCTGGGTGGCCCAATCATTCGCTCGAATTGTCCGGAATATTCTTGAAACCAATCGCGAACAATTGTGGTCCGGTCTCATGACGCATTCCCGTCCATACAAAATCCCATCGTTTGGGAATATGAAGCACACGTAAGCTTCCGCGGCTCGAATCCATAAATTCTCGGCCTCCCAGCCAACGACGCGGCGTCTCCCGGATAGCCGAGAATTTATGGGAATATGAAGGCCATGAAAGGCTGCAAATGTCACTGAATATAACTATCACCAGTCAATAAACGGTTCAGTTACACCAGAGGACTTTGTCCATTCCATGTAAAAATTATTATGAAGTCAATACCAGCTTGCTCAATGTCTTGATGAAAATTTGGCTCTATGGGAATACACTCAAACCCTACCATCAACTCTTACCAACTAAAATCCGGACTCATCTGAACAAGCCGCGGTTTTCCAGTTGTGTGGGTCCAACCGATATGGCCGCGAGCCTGGGAGTGGCGCTATGGGCAATGTCGTGCTGTTAGGAAAGGCAATCGAGTCGGTCTTCTCCTGCTATAGCCAATTAAAGCCAAATTTCGCCTGTCCTCACGGATACGTCCGTCGTTCTTTCCACATTGATTTTTTTTATTTCACGCAGTGCTGGTCGGTTAGCACTGACAACACTACGCAAACGCTATTACTCTCGGTCATTAAGTGAAGGCCGTCGGCCTGCATTGCGCGGACTGCGTTGTCAGTGTTGAGAGCTTTGAAACCTTTTTAACATGAATCACTTGACTACAAATGAAGCTTTTCCAATGTACTGCTCTTTTAGACCTTTTGTACGCGATACTAATGCCATATTTGTATTTGCATTTTGTTATCTATGACTTTCGTCACCTCAGTCAACCGCTTTTACGTTTTTTTACTATAAATAAATAAAAATCTGAGAGAGAATTGCTTATTAATGTTACTGTTGTCACAAAATCTACCAAGAGAACTTAACAAATGTGTTATTGGAAGTGGTGAACTGCAGCTCTTCCAGTTTTCCCTACAATTCAAACACTCCGGAGTCGGAAAACACACTTCCAAGAATAATAACGTCACCCCCGGAGACGATTTAACCATGGAAATTGTAACAGACTTTTGGACATATTGTTATCATTGGTGCTAAGCACGTTTTTTAAAGGAGAGTGTGTTAAGATAATTGATAAAATATTCAAATCCCATTCATTATATAATTCATTCAAAGATGAATTATTTGAGAAGAATCGAATAATGTTAGAACATCGATATATGAGTCCGAAAAGGCAATAAAACATAAATTGGAATCAACTTACAGTTAGAAATAAATTTCTGCCTTTCATTGGATTCCTTGAAGATGTTTAGGTGATGTACTTTATGTTACAGCTTGACTTTTGCACTGTGAGATATGAAAAGCTTCCTAAGGGAATCGTTTATATGTCTTAGTCGTGATATTTTTGTTACTCATTGTTGATAATTGAAACAGACATTCATTGCGCTGCTATGGTAGATCTCTCAGTTCATACTCTGAAAGGAAATCCTTGAATCATTATCAAGAGCGATAGCGAAGAGCCGTTAAATGCGATATGCGCTTGTATACGATTGCGTTTCAACCAATCATCTTTACGTTCGAGTATAATGGCTGATTGGCCTGAATATGTTCGTACGTAACTACGCATTACCAGTGACCACAGCTCGTCCGCCAGCTATTAGCCGAGACTATAGTTCTGACAATTACGACATATTTTACTTCGATATTCATGAATGTCTATTGAGCGATGTTGTACCAGTCATGACAGAAATGAGAATTTGGAGAGAGAAAAATCAATTGGGACAATAAACGGAAAACAGTAGGCCATTGAAAGTCAACATCGCAGAATTCGTTAATTTTTACTTTCTCGCCTTACTTCGTAAAAAGCGAAAAAATTGAAATCATGCTGGAAATCGGAGATTTTTGGAGAGAAAAAACTCTTATCGCCGGACCGTGGTAACGAAAAAGTTATTGAATCATTTCTATTCGTAGTAAATTACTTCCTCTAAAACGTTCTGTAGCCAGAATCCACGTTTTGTGGGACATTGATACAGAAAAATCGATAGACGGCAAAACGCCTGTCTGTCTATCTATCCATCCATCCATCCCTCTGTCTATTCGTCCGTCCCCCCCGTCCGTCCCCTCGTCCGTCCCCCCGTTCCGTCCCCTCGTCCGTCCCCCCTCCGTTTCGCCCCTCCGTCCCCCCTTCCGTCCCCCCGTCCGTCCCCCCGTCCGTCCCCCCGTCCGTCCCCCCGTCCGTCCGTCCGCCCTCCGTCCGTCCCCCCGTCCGTCCCCCGTCCGTCCCCCCGTCCGTCCCCCGTCCGTCCCCCCGTCCGTCCCCCCGTCCGTCCCCCGTCCGTCCGCCCCGTCCGTCCCCCCGTCCGTCCCCCGTCTCGTCCCCCCGTCCGTCCCCCCGTCCGTCCTCCCGTCCGTCGCCCCCCGTCCCGTCGCCCTCCGTCTGTCCCTCCGTCCTTCCTTCCGCCCGTCCCTCCGCTCGCCTCTCCGCCCGTCCAGCCCTCCGTCTGTCCCTCCGTCCGTCTGTCTGTGGTCAACGCTAGCGCATAAACCGTTCAGACGATTTTCTCCAAAATTCATATTTCCCGATCGATCTGGACGAAACTCCAGGCTTTGGGAGTTTGAAACGAATATCTTTATTTTTATAAGTCTCTCCGATTGATGACATCTGGGGAAACAGACCCTGAACGATAGCATACATAGGAACAAAAGTTTGTCGGTATTATTTACTTGCAGCAAGGGTTACTGGCCACCAGAATATCGAGTTGCCTTTTTCCCGAGCAAGTTCTGGATGCAAGGAATTTTCGTTTGCGCAGTCTCGTATAGCCGTTCTCGCATACGAGAACGAGAGAGAATGTGTGACATTTGATCTCCGTTTCCATTGCTTTTTTCGTCCTTTCTTCCTATTTTTCTGACTTTTTTTCGGCTACCGTTGCGTTTTACAGAATTTCCGGGGGTTATCACATTACGAGTCTCTGTAGCGACCGCTCTGTCCCCTGCCGGTTTAATCCGGTCCTGATACCAGCACATATAATGAATGTCACTTTCAGACCTTATTTTCGGGGAAAAAAAGAGAGACGTAAATGCCGACAAATCGGTGTTTGGTACTCCGCCTCTCCCTGTGGCGTTCTCCGTAGCCACCGATTGTCTTCGACTGGCTGAGGTTTCTCAGCGCATTAACTTGTGTCACTGCAGTGTCTCTGACCGGGAGGTCCGAGAGTTCGAGTCCCAACGTTGAGATTTTCGAGAGTCCCGACGGTGGTGAACTAGAAAGCTAGGTCGAATTAAGACGCTGTCTGGAGAATAATTCTAGCTTCCGGCTGCTCTAGTCAGTAGTTTTCCGTGATTTCTCCGATCAACAGCAGGCGAATGCCGGAGTACTAGTCTAACAAATGAGTCACTGACCGTGCACTATCTTTCCTTCATCTTCCCTGATATCAAAAATGAAGAAACGACGAAACACCTGATCGAGATAGGAGTCATTGGGTCAGCGTTCCGGAGCAGTGAGTATCTTAGGCCCGATATCCGCGAATCTGGTTTGACGAATAATTCCAGAGTTTGAGCAAACGCGCGCATGCGGAGGGTGCCTACTGAAAGCCCAGAAGAAGTTTCTAAAACTTTTTCCAATTCAATGGTGCCTTATTTTACATGGCGAAGGTCAGGCCATCAGGCCTGCTGTTCCGCCTTACCATTCAAATTTCTGTATGCTTCCTTCCTAGTGACAAGGAAACAGGCGGTTAGAATTTAGTTCAGAGATTTCATTCAGGCTCAAGGATTTTTTTAAAATTATGTGTATCTACAACATGGGACAGTGGTATTTATTTCTCCCAAAGGCATACGAAGGATTTGTTCGCTCTTAAAAATTAACGGCTGCGATCGGATTGGAACCCGTGAACTTGGGTCTAATAGTCCTACATATAATATAATGCTAAATGTTGCACCACCAAAATCCTCGAGTCGTTGAAGGAAAAGACGCCTGTGAGGGGGCGGTAAGCGCCTGCTACCAACCCGGACTGTGATTGTTGCAGGCGGCAGCTGGACAACGGGTCGCTGGTGATCCGCGCGCCCATCGACGCGGCCGCGCGCCACCTCGTGGAGGGCCGCTACCGCTGCGTGGCCGTGCTGGAGGCGCTGGGCACGCTCGTCAGCCGCGCCGCCTCCGTCCGCATCGCAGGTGAGCGCCGTTCTTGGGTCGACGACTAATTGGATTTGTCGCTGCTGGAATGGTGCGATTCAGTGAACTGAATCGTTATGTACACTGGGTGTAATGTAGATACGCGAGTGATCTCATTAACGTAACTAAATGGAACTCTCCCTGTTATTTGTAATTTCAATAAAAATTCTGCCTTTGCCTCTTTGTGATCTCTCGAAAATCTGATTATACCTCAGTGTTCCTATTTGCAATAAGTAATGTTGATTGTTGTGTCGATTCATGTTTTGTTGAAGAGTTAAGAAGTGGCACAAATAATTCGGGCTTTAGTACTATCGATTAATCTATAATACTTGCCGAGACATAATACAAAGCAATATTCATACTAAGAGAAATAATGTTTTGATTAAAAATCATGATCTAAATAATGAATTCTAAGCTGTCGATTTATTATCTAGTTCAAAAATAAAAATAAAAACATGAGTTCACATGTTGTTTATTGTACGGCTAAGTTTTTCAATTTTTAGTCCTGCCCGAGTTCTCACAAATCTTTTTAAATCGAGTAATCGTTGGAAAATTAATAGTATTGTTAGGTTCGATTTTTCAGCTACGCAGAAATTAGCCACGGTTCCTAACCATTGGTTCAGTAACATGACATGAACATCCGTCGTGTGTGTGTGTGTGCGTGTGTGTGTGAAGTTGCTTGCATCGCATGTGCCGAGGCGCCCCGTGCAGGCAGGGCTGGAGCGCGAGCGCGAGTGCGAGTGCGAGTGCGCTGTGTTTGCGTGGCAGGGCCGCCGCGGATCGAGCGCGGGCCGGAGGCGGCGCGCCTGCTGCCGGGCCAGACGGCCTTCCTGCGCTGCGACACGCGCGGCATCCCCGCGCCCAGCGTGCGCTGGCTGCGCGACGGTCGCCCGCTCAAGCTGGACGCCTCGCGCATGGTGGTCCTGCCCTCCGGTGAGTGCCGCGCCCTGCGCCCTGCGCCCTGCCACTGCGCGCTGCTTTAATGATTGGTTTCGCGTCAAGAATCTGTAAAACACAGTGTGTGGCGTACTATGGAGAGAAGTGCAATCTCTATCCTGGTTCTTGTAACACAGTGTGCTAGGAAAGTGTCTCCGCGCCGAGACGAATCAGGGCCTCCTGTTAAAAATTGCGTTTGTGTTGGTAGCAACTAGATCACGTGGAAATAAGTGAAGGGACCCACGCTACCATCATCTATTATGACCGTGATGTGCACGCAATTTGGGTTTTCTTTTGTTTAAACCTGCAGCTCGTGCTAACAACATTTTTTCTGTAGCTAGCACTCTCACCAGCAAGATGCCACTGCGGAGACACTTTCCTTGCGCGCTGTGCATTAGGTTGAATTGTAAATATAGATAGTAACGAGCGTTTTGGGCAAGATTTGATAAGAAAATATTCTCTCGTGTATAATAAAAACTATTTGCAAATGCGAATCAGCTACAGATTTTGGCTAATCGACTTTCTGCTGCGAGAACAGGGGGAAAGATTATTTGAATAACTCTATACCCCATTGAACTCAAGAAAACACATACAGATAGTGAAGCATAATTTATGTCCAGAAGCAAAACAAAGGGCCATCTAAACATTTGCTCAAAGGATCAGGCAAGCCGGACGAAAAACGTGATCGAGATAGAGATCTTTGGCCCATTGCTTCTCCTTCCCGCCACCCCTTCCGCGTCCACCCGTTCCTCTCCCCTTCTCACTCACTCCGCTCCTCCCCCCACTCCCCTTCCGCTCTCCATGCTCTCTCTACCCGCCCTCTCCCCTTATAATTGTTTCCCTTTCCGCCTCCGCTCTCTTTGCCTTTTTTCTTTTCCTCCTGTTCCTTCCCCTTTCTCCCTACTCCCTCCTCTTTTTCCCGCCATTCTCTTCTCCTTTCTCTTTTTTCACTTTCCCCATCCTCCTTTTCCGCCCCCTCTACTCTTTTTTCACTTATTTTCTTGTCTCTGAAAATGAAATAAAATTGGACTGTCTTTCTATTATACATGAATGGGCAAGAAATGATTTGCTAATACTAATACAGCGTTATGAGGAGATCATATATAGTGCTTTATTTATAAAATTTTAGTTCGTTCATTTTAAATCATATATACATGTGTGTGTGAGAGAGAGAGAGAGGAGAGAGAGAGAGAGAGAGAGAGAGAGAGAGAGAGAGAGAGAGAGAGAGAGTTATCCGTTGCTCTGCTCGCAGGTTTCAGATATACAAAAATTTGGAAAGTGAAAATAGCAACAAACACAGCAACGGAATGGCTGAAAAGAATAAAAAAAAATCGAAGTATATGGCGAGTATAGCAGTACCAACGATAAGTGCTTAAGATTGCAGAAATTGCAGACACGTAGGCCCAACAGCAACCTCTATTGTGTGTCCGTACAGATCAGAGTTACGCCAGCTTATTCAGTAAAGAGCCATTACACATAGTGGAATCGTGAAAGCATGTATGCTTTGTCGTATGTAGTAAGCTTGGTCGACGTCAAAGGGCGTAATATCAGCAAGTGAATGAGATCGAACGGGACGGGGTGAACGGTCTCTGGGAAATGGGCTCATTTTATCGTGACATTTCTGCTCGTACAGGGCATACAACTACGTCATTGAAACACATGTGGAATCAACTAATAAAAGAGCGTACCCAGCGAAGAACTGGTACTCAATGACACGATGTGCCCACATAGCCGTAACGGAGTGTACAGCTTTGCCTTCAGTGCACCTCGACAACGGATGTGGGCATGTGGACTGTTCGACGCAGTCTGTTGGGATTGGACTGCTATCACAGCGTCCACTTCCGTTGTCCAGAAATGACACATGTTTCAGGCAACAATTCGTGCGTGATCGGAGTCGCTGGTGTACTGTTGTGTTTTCGAACGAGCCGCGCTCCGACTTGTACCTGGAGTGATACCGGTACAAGTACATCCGATAGACGTTTCCATGCAGAGTGTGATCTCGCTGCCTACGCACTGCGAGCAATCAGGATAGCAACCTTTGCATCAGGGTGATTTTAGAGACAAATGTACTTCTCCTCCTTCAGGGAATTCGGCATACATTTCAGCATGACACGTACGTACGTGCGTGGCGAGAATTGTGCATGCCTCCCCCGAAGAACGATAGGTAACGTAATTTTTGTCCTACTGGTGCTGCTTATGTCGCCGATCGATTGGGTCTATATCTATGATACGGTTTGTCGTCAACTTGATCGTCGCGATCCTCCAGCAACGTTTATTGATTATTATAGTGTAATTAGTTCTGAAATCCTAATATTTTTATTGGCGTTACTTAATGCGCAGAATGAAGTTCATTTCTATAATGTATTCTTCTTGGTCTTGTAATTTTCATAAATGTAGTGTAGGGACCAGCTGTGTACATTTCCATTTGTTCCCTTTTCTGATTACTAATTTACTTATACTCGTTATCTGTTAATGGACTAAGATTAAGAACACAACCCCCATTCAAAAGCAGTACACATCTCTCTCTCTCTCTCTCTCTCTCTCCCTCTCCCTAGTATTATAGTATAGAGTAAGTATGAAAAATTAGTATATAAGGTATATTAGTATATATAAAAACTAAAAGGGCAATAGAAGACTAATAGTAGGTGGCTTGGTCACGAAAGAAAGGATTAAACCAATATGTGCTCCGGGGGTATCTGATCTGGTTTAGGTGCAAGGCACCTGAATAAATACATAAATTTCTCTATAAAAATTCTCTTGACGTAGCACGTGAGGTAAGGCACTAAATCCACAGTACAATTGCTTGAACGATCGCAACCCAGAGCAACCAATTTAACATGTAGTTATGAGTTGTAAATAAACGGATAATAGGATATCTGTGATAATATTAATATGTAATTCTAGTATCCCCAAGTAATACAATATTAGAATGAAAACGTTGCTACAAATATTAGAACGAAAACAAAACAGGTTTGGCGATTACGACAGCAAACGCAAGAAAGTTTTTCTTTTCTCCCTGTATTCCATCAAAACGTATTTCAATTTCTTACAGACTTCAACAATACTTGTACGTTTTGGAGGGTGCTTATTAATAAAACTTTTCTCCCTCTAATTAATCAAAATTATGTACACTGAAGGTTCGTCTGCAGGGGCAACAAGGGGAAAGGACAAAACATCTGAGATTTTGAGAGAAGCATGACCGGTGAGAGCGAACAGTGCAACACAGCTTTATAAGCTAATAAGCCTTTTAATAAGCTACCTTTTCTTTGTCGTCCGGTCATTAATTTCGAAAATTATTAAGTGTGCATAGACGAAAACCATTTGATTTTAATTGGCATATGAACCTCATAACCAAGTGTCGGAAGTTTTAATGATTTTCCTAATGATCTATTAGACCTAGGCAGATTTCACGCAGAACGCGTGTCTAGCATTTAAGATTTTTGCCGTCGAGGTTGTTTGTTTGGCGATTTCCTCCGCGTCTGTCATGTTTGCCGAACCTCATCAACATCGAGGGGCGTGATTCAGACGAACACGATCGACCTGGTAAAAGTGACTGATTACTGGAATGAGTAATGTGGTGAAATGGAACCTGATAGAGAAAACGCGGGGACGGCCCACAAATCCATATTGTCAACCGCAAATTCCACATGGTTTCTGAATTAAAACTCCACAACCCAAAGGTAATTAAAATTAAATAAAGAGCTGCACAAAGACACAAAAACTATTGAGAGTGATAGAAGTATTGTTATAAAACAATTATTATATTTGTGCCTATTTATTACGTAAAAGTTTCTTCCTTTCGGTCAATAGACGTTCACATTTGTTTCTTTTTCAATTTGTATCTCCTTACGCAGCCCCGTCCTCTATGGCAAACAGTGTCCAAAATAGCAACCTTCTCTATGAACGGATGCCCGATATAAGCAGGTCCACTTTTTACTATCTCGCCTTACATCGTAAGAGAAATTATTGTAATCGTGCGCTGGAAATCGGTGAATTTTCGACAGAAAACTCTTATTGCCGGGCCCTGGTCCCGAAAAATTGGTTCTGGTCCCTTAAAACAGTTTGTTTCTAAGTTTGATACTTTTTTAATTAATTTGTACTTTTCCGAATGTACGAGCATATGCTACGTTCCACGACCATTTGCAGTTCTAGTAGCCATGATCGCAAAAAACGAAAGAAAAATTAAGATTATTCCTTGAAAAAATTTTAAAATGAAATGTAATCCAATGTAAAGTCCCTATGTTGTCACATCAAAAGCAGAATATCCGTTTAGAGAAGTTCTTCTAGTTAGGGAACTAGTCTTCAGAAACGATCACTTTAGGGATAATGAATCTGAATTTGGCTTTTCCCTAAAGTTACTTTTTGTCTTGTTTGGTCCTATGCAAAACATCATAACTATTATAATTTTAAAGATATATTTATGATTCATGTTTTATTTAATAGCAGAAAGTCAATTCTTGTGCATAATCCCGAAATTGTTATAGAAAATGCAAATTAGCAATAATAAATTACTCTTAATTGTTATTATTACCAGTGATTTTTAAATGGTTTAACTCAAAACCCTGCATGTACAAATCCATACAAGTCCCTTATAAATCTTCAGATTTAGGTTCAGTCACTAAAGTATAATCCAAGTAACAGTCTTAAAAATGAATCATCAAAAAATGTTTAACGGTTCATGAGTTATGATGTTTCTAATTATACCCTATTTTGTGGACGAAAAACCGGCATATCGGATAAAAGAATTAAAATATTTGTTATAAAAATATATATTTTTGACTTTGATAATACCTAATCGAACGAGTAATGATGATAAAAATATATATTTTTGACTTTGATAATACCTAATCGAACGAGTAATGATGATTAAATTCAAATATATGCCACAAATAAAAAAAATTAAAACTCAGGTAGACGAGTACCTTAAATGATGAGTTATAAAAAATTAGATCTTAAAAAAAGATTATGTAAAATCTTTTGAAAAATCTAGTAGTTTTCGCGTAATCTCTGCTGTAAGTTAATGTAATTTATAAAACAAAATATTTTCTCATAAAAGGGTGTAAATTTTTTAATTTAGTTTTTGTCCACGGGTAGAGCAATGGACTCTTAAAACTGTGGCATAGGCCTAACTCTCTGAATTTTCCAAAATTATATATTTTTGAGCAACGGCAAAAGTGGAGCATGACCGAGCGACTGCGTGCTGTAGCGGTAATGCGCTTGGCAAGTTAACTCCATGGACCTGAGTTCGAGTCTGGGCGCGGAGAAAAAAATACGCTGGTTGGAAATACTTCTGCAAGTTCATGTAGTTGTATATAGTTGCGAAGTCGTTACAAATAATGCGAGAAAGTATGTGCTGATATTACACATGCACATCTGGCACGCCTCCCCATGGTGCGTGTCAGTTTTAATTGATTTTACGTGAAATAAATCTGTTCATCAAAAGTAGATCCTTAAATGATGCCGTGTAGAGTGTTTTCAGGCTAATTAATTTTCGCGAATTTTTTAGTGATATCGTGACAATTTAAAATAAATGCGTAAACAGGATTTTCTCAAAAACGTCTTTTTCTTATTTTTCGCTTTTTTCTTATTTTTCTTCTAATTTTTAGTTTTATCGTTACAAATTTTAGAATGAGGTTTAAAAATCACTTCGACCTAAACACTTCATTTTAACAGCGGGAACGCCCATGAACTGTATGGTAGAGAGGGATCATATCTTGTTTTATTAACCTAAGTCCTCCAGTTCAAATCTCAATACGGCCAACCGTTTTTCTTGTTCATTAATTACATGACTTTCAAGTGTCACAACTACAATGATCATTGGGCCCATACGTATAGAGTAGGCTATATCTTGGGAGGAGCCGGTGTTCCTTCCCTGCTGGAACATGATTTCCGTCGACGAATTACATATCGACTTCCAAAATCCTCCTCCAGGTATCTCCCCTAGTGGGGCACCGTTCCAACGTGGACAAACTGTAAGATCCCATCTGATCACCCAACGTGTGTGGTAGTGTCGTGCTGTAAGTGTAACGGGAGAGTATAAAAAAGATGTGGCTTCGGGATAGAAATTCGTGCACTCTCAAGGATAAAGGAGGTGGGAAGGATAGATCACAAGGTCCGTTTGTTAAGGTGCTGTTTCCGCATTCTCCTCTTATTGATCACAGAAACCACAGGAAACTTCCGATCAGGGCATTTTTCAATTTCAGCGCGTTTTCATGCTGTCATACGCGTTTTTCAAGTAGTGACACACTGAGTTAGTTCGTCATTAGCCTTAACGCCATCTTACGTCCAACGTTCCCTGCCCTGTCTTCTATCACAACCCTTTCACACTTTCATGCACGTGCGTGAACTACCAACTCCTCGCCGCTGAGGTTCATACTCGTAGAACCATAGCGGTCTGCACATACACAGCCGCCTGTGACCCGTAGTCCCACAGCGACTCGTGGAACTGATTGGAATTGGGGATGAAATACATCGGACAGGTGGCGCGCATGTCGCAGTTCGTATAGAATCCTTAGATATAACAAGTAACACAACCTGAACGACCGCCGCTATTCAACATCCTTCCTCATGATAGTCTCGTTACAAATGTGTGTGTATACACTATGTGCTGTTGTAACACCACTCTTGGGAATTTATGCTAATATTAAATATTGAGTAAATAATTAACGTTTTACTATTTTAATGTATATATATACGTTCAGTGACGTAACCAGAACGTAAGAACTTAGCTGTCTTATCCTGGCTGTAAGTTAGAGGAATATAAACAAATTATGAGTTATTTTTTTCAGGTATCCACGGGTAATTATTGTAGTTGATACTATTTAACATTCTATTAACCCCGTCACAATGTTCGCTTTTTAAAATCCGGAAGCGATGGGTTTATTTTTCTGCCTTTACGACTTTGTTTTCCTTCAAACGGTCACAGGTTGTGACTGTCAGTAATTCATGCACTACGCCACGATTAGCATCCATTCTTTTCTAATTCTCTGACTGTATTGCAGGGCACAATGTAATTCACAAAAAATCTAAATTCAGGAATTGTTACAATACAATACTTAAACTAAACGTACACCTCATGAAATACACCAGACCAGCACACTTACGCCTATTTCAACTTGAGAGCACAGTCATCTGCCCACTAAATGGGACAAGATCACTGGAACATTTTCTTCGAATTCATTGCTACCTGGAGTGCTTTGCATTAGAAAAGGATGAGGAGAGTGAGAATAAACGTGTGTACTTCCACGAACTTCACGTTACATAGGCACGGACGCTCATAGCAGATTATTTCGTGAAAGCTCGTACTTCGATCGGTGTTCTTCACATTGGCTAGCGCTGGTCGCTTGAGAAGATTTTGTATGAAAATTCCCACGTTCTCCCCTCTCGTCTGCCGTATGGTGGCAACGCTCGTTTTGCAATGTAAAGGCGTGCCTTCGTAATTGCCCTGCGTATTCTTTAATTTACTTTGTGCTGAATTATCACTGTCAGTTCAGTGCGCTCGGTTCCTCTATGTGTGTTTGGAGTATTCCATACTTCATATTAATATTTAACTACACTGTTTTTTTGTGAAAAAAGCAACACCAATAAGGAGTCATACTATTACAATGAAATTTATTCCACAGATTGGGAATATCACAATATACAAATGATTAGAATTACTGAACTGAACATGCATTTTGTCCTTGAGTATTTAGTACGATGTGAAGCCGCCACACGCTGCCATCAGAGCATCTAGACGTGGCAGGGATTCAAAGAGATCCTTGATATGCTACTGAGGAATACACTATCACGCTGTTTCTACGCGTGACCGCAAAGCATCGACAGTGGCTGCAGAAGGACGAGAACAAACAAATTGCCGACCGATCATATCTCATACATATTCGATGGGCGATCAGGCGAACGTTCAGACTAGGGAAGCAGTGGTACCCGTCGTTCTTCGCAGAAAGCTTGCACATTCCTCATCCCGTGCGGTTGGACATTGCCCTGCTGAAATTTGGCATGTGGAGCTGCTAGCAGGAGCAGTACCTCGGGCTCTAAAACCTCCTTAATGCATCGATTTCTAATCAGATTGCCCTCAATACGTATGAATACAATCGCACATTGTAGCCAATCCATCACACATGGCGTTAGTCCACTATGACACAGAACAATGCAGGATGGCATATTACGATCACCACTGTGGCGTCTAACACGTACGCGGCCAAGAATTCGACGCAGTGGCGTGCGTGCCACCAGTCCAGCCCTCAACGGACGGCGTCGAACCGTCGACTTAGACATGACCACGTTGCAGTGCTCCAAAGTCGAGCCAACACTGTGGACGACGCCGTTCTGCCACTTACGGCCATGCGAATAAGGTGGCGGTCATCTCGCGCTGTGGTCACATTGTGTGGTCCTGTACCCGCTCGTCGCCCGCACGACCCTCTATCCACTGGTTCCAAACACTCATTACTGCCGTAGCAACGCGCCCCGTTCGAGCCGCAATGTCACGGCAATGTCAGGTTATTACTGAAAATATTGAATTATAAAATTCACAAAATTATTTTCTTGATTAATATCCTCCATCTCATGTAAGCTCCTCCTTTTTGAAGAATCAACACTTAAAAAAGAAAGAATGCTGAAATGCTCTATTAGTAGAAAACTGAAATCAATTTTTATTTTGTGACCCTGAATGTTTAATTTACTCTTTCATATCTCAATGTGTAATGCCAATCATTCATGGCCATTTATGTTTTATTCTTTCAGGAGCTTTAGAAATTTCTCAAGTGTGGCCATTAGATCAAGGCAGCTATCAGTGTAATGCATCATCTCTTCAACAGTCTCAGCTCAGTGCCCCTGCAGTTCTCAGTGTTGATCAGGATAGGGGTAAGCTTTTGACATGTATTTCTACTTTGAGTATATTGTACTTGTATATGTTCTTACAAGTAAAGATTGTATGCAAACATAATCAACTTTTTCTTATATTTAATGAGTGGCTCTAAGTATAAAAATCTATTGCTTCATTGTTTTATGAAATTTGTTTTCACAGAACTGGACCCAAGACCAATCCCACCAAGATTTATTGCTACACCACATGCATCTGTGGTGGCAACAGAAGGTCACAATGTCACCTTAGATTGTGCAGCTAATGGACCTCCTGAGCCAGATATCTCTTGGCTCAAAGATGGCAGTAGTATAGACTTGAAGTTAGTATAATCATTTAAAATCTTTTCTGAAAATACTGGTATATGAACTAAAGTCAGGTTTCCGGGACTTGTTCAGTATGAGCAAAATATATTTACTAAGTTATGTGGTTGTTTGCCAATGTTTCGGAAAATGTATTTCTATCATGATGGCTTGCAACCATGAGAACAACCATGTAGTAAAATGTTTTTGCTCTTATTGACCAAGCTTCATAAACCTGATTTCAGTGAATGTATATTTATGGTCATTAAAGATTCTCCATGAAATCTGAACATTTGAGTGATAAATAAAAGCCCTTATTCATCAGTTTAGAGGAGTTGTTTCTTGCTAATTGAATAGTAAAACTGTAAATATTCCTTTATTGCTTTGATATCTTTCACATAACATTGTGACTGAACGTTGGTTAAGTAATGTAAATATTTAACGGATAATTAGATACTGTTGCATAATTTGCTGCCAAAATTTTGGTACTTGAATTTTTGGAGCACATTTGGGAAAACAATTTATTATGATAAAAATTATCTAGAACTCATAAGAGAATTGTCAATTATTAACATACTCTTTCCATCCATTGCTTTTCCTTATTTTTTCCATACTTCAGATATTTCTGTAAATTTATGCACTTTTTTTTTTTTTATTAGTCTTGTATGTTCTTGAAAATTACTATTGTTTTTTAGTAATTTTGAGTTATCCAGTTAATGTTTCTAATGAAATGTTATGGAGTCCTCCTCAAATATTTTTATGGCTGCAGCTATGGTTACTGGCTTCCTTTATCTAGAGATGGGTCTATATGTTAATCCTCAAGTGTGGCCTGGCAGAAACAGAAAATCATCTTCAATGATCAGAGGATGACAGAGAAATTACTTCATTAACTTCAGTGTCCTTTATGATCTACTTGTTTCACTTTCTTTGACAGTTGATACTTTCTGTATCACAGAATAGATCACAGCAACTTTCTATTATTTTAGTCCACATTATATCACAGCATTTCTTAAGTTTTATCACTGTGGTTCATACTTCATTCAGCAGAAAGTAATTAACATTGCATCATTGCAGTTGAGATATTACCTCCATACTTCTCTTGAATTCCTTGAAAGTTACCTGAGAAACTAATTAAATTGTTGAACTCTCCTCATTGGAAAAATCTACAAATCTACTGCAATACACATTTTATTAAGAACAAGGACAAATGTTCCGAACTCATAACAGCATTGAAATATGTGATTCTTGAATGGAAATAAATTTTTTCCCAATAGATTTAATGAGTTATGCTTTTTACTTATTTATTTAAAATTTGTATGCACAGAGATAGAGATAGCCGATTTATGAAAGTTGGTACTGGCAGTTTACGGATTTCACATGTGCAAGAGAAAGATAGAGGAACATACCAATGTCGTGCTGGAAATCGAGCTGATTTAGTTGATGCGACAACCACACTAGAAGTAGAAGGTATGTATTTCTTTATTATCCTTCTTTTCTCTACCCACTTTTAAACATTAACTAAAACTTTAAATTGTTCAAAATGATTATTATGATATGCCATGGATTTAAGGAAGTAAATTTGGAAATAAAAATGAATGAATGAATGATGGCATAAATTAATTAACAATTCTAGAACAATTTCTAATAAAATTAATGTGACAAATTATAAATATAGAGATCAAATATAACTAGAATATGGAAGAGGGTGTCCAAGGGAATGGTAACAAATTTACAGTTTCAACTTTTCTCTACAGTGCCTCCTAGATTTGTTAAAAGGCCAAAGGACCGTGAAGCCTTTGAGAAAGAGGATTTGGAGCTGGAATGTTCTGTATATGGCAAACCTGAACCTAAAGTTTACTGGATGAAGAATGGAGACTTGATCAAGCCAAGTGATTATATGCATGTAAGTGTACTAATAAAATATCTCAAAGAATTCTAAGTAATAGAGAGGAATTGATCCTTTATAATATTTCTCTTAAACAGGTTGTAAATGGCAATAATCTCAAAATCCTGGGTCTGATGCGCCTTGACACTGGAATTTTCCAGTGCCTTGCTATGAATCCAGCTGGCAATATTCAAGCATCCGCAAGACTCCAAATATATCCTCCTGGTAATTAATGGCTGCAGGGAAAACATTTTGTAATTGTAATGCTGTATATTAACAGTTTTTCTAAGCATGCTTTGTAGGACATAGGGATATGAAGATGTTTAAGTGGCTCCTTAACGCTTCCATAGTTTTCTTAATATCTTACATTTGTTTCAATGGGAATAATATAGCAATAAATTGATATTCTTCCATGATTTATTTTTTGTGAATAATTCACAGTATTCATGGTATTCTTCAATTTTGTAAATAACTTATTCTTAAGAAGCATTATCACTATGGATCACATTGTTACAATGAAATTGCAAGAAGTATTTAACTTGATACTTTCTATATAGAGACCTCGAAAACATGTTAGGGACTTCAAGGTCTAAATTCTTAAATTAAAAGAACTCTCTGGTTTTGATCGCAAGTTGAAGGAGAGTGGAGGTCTCAAAAATTTGAGAAATGAACTCAAATGAACAAGATTGAGCATAGTTGGAAACTATAAATTGTTAGTTGTGGCAAATATATTTTAAAGAAAAGTGTGTTTAAACTGACAAGTCATGAACTCTAAGCTGATTTTTAAAAGACAAATTATCATAATTTTTGTGTTTAGAATTTGGTGTCTTTTTGTTATTATTTCTTATATTTAAATTTATACAGTGCCAATACTTACTCTTAATTCACTCAACCAATTTACTGCAATTCTTATTTTACTTATTGACATAATCTGGAATCCAAATTTTGTCATTCAGTTACAATTGCCATCTTCAAGGTTGTATTCCATGCATTAATACATTGAATTTCTGTTTGACCACATTTACTTTTGTTTGTTGCTATTTTTTTCTCAATTTCAATTGAAATTTTGAGGGTTTTTAACTGTTTTCATTTAACAACCAAAATGAGCAATGAACTGTAGCTCGATAACATTTACTGCATGATATTTCTTGTTTTTGCTGATTCTTTTTTAAGATGTCTCTGTAAGATTTTTTATTCCTTCTTTCTCTTTCTTTTGAATTATTGCTTCAGATTTTTATCATTATTCAGGGTAGCCACTCAATGGGGAACGTAGAAAATCGGCAAAATTCAGGAAATTTGTAGAAGAATAATAAGAAGTCAGGTAAAACTTTGAGATAGTCATATATCTAGATATCATTCCTAAAAAAATGAGGCCCCTAAATAGTAGTGACTTAATTTTTATTTGTTGAGGGTTTTTTTTATTCGCAGTTATTCACAGTGAAATCAGAGCTGACAAGTTAGAATCAGGATTGCTTCACTATTTTTTTAATAGTCTGAAATACTCTACAAATCTGATCAGTGGAGGGGAGGGGGAGAAGAAAAAAAGAGTAAAAACAAACAAGCAAACAATCAAAACAACAGCATTAAAAAATGTCCTGGAAAACTGGGAAAAGTTTGGGAAATTTGTTCCTGGAAATTAGTGGCCACCCTAATAATATGTAAAATTTAAACGACTAAAATAAAAATTTTCCCATGCCTGATGTGTAAAAGGTATGTGTTTGGAACTTTCTTCTTTCTAAATGTTCCCTTATCATTTCAGTTTTTTGCATTGATTTATTCCACATTTTATCATTGCATTTCTATTAGTTTTTTTTATTATTATTTTTTATTTATTTATTTTAACTTCTCTAGAATTCACTTGATTGTTTATTAATGTTCTTGCTTTTTCTTTACATACCTATAGTAAGTAGAAGTGTATTAGTTCTTGTCATTATTGATAACTTGCGTACTCATAATTGAAGCATGGTAATTTACTCTGGTATATTCACAAAATTAATTTTCCATGAATTATTTTTGTATTGCGTTACAAATATTATTTTACTTGAGTGTTCTGTGATGTGATTTTCATTAGGACACATCCTTTATATGATAGAATATGTATAGTTTTATCTCTTTATTTTATTTTACTTGTACTTACATAAGTTTTTTGATTTTTTTTTTTCTTTTTATCTCCCATGACCGTTGTGGACATGATTCTTTCTCAAACCTACAATCCTGCTTTCTTTCTTACTTTCTTTCCTTTTTAATTACTCTTTTTTCGTAATGGTTTTCTTGTACTCTGTCTTGTGGGTCCATGCTGTGCTGTGCAACTGTATATTGACTAATTTTCTGAACTGCTGTGACTCTTCGTCTACATTAATAACCATTGATCCATCCTGCTTCTCGAATTTCCTGCTAACCCAACTCACAATTCTTAATTTATGTATTCTATACTGCTTCATACATCTGTTTCATTTGATGAATATTTGTAAAAATGCTTCTGCTTATGATATTATTGTTTCTACTTTTCTGAATGTGCCTACAACTTTGTGGAATTTGAAATATTTCCTTTCTCTGTTTACAATATTATTCACTCACTGTTGCTTGATTTCATACTTACAATACAGCTTCAGAGTTATCTGGTAACGCTAATAACCCATCCTCTGTATTAAATCCTGGTTCCAATCTCAAACATAACCGAGGGCCATTCTTTCTTGACGAAAATGACGATGATGAAGACATTGATGATGACGGTGACGAAGATAATGACGATGATGACGATTATGACTATAACTATGAAGACAATGATGACTATGATGCGAGACTTGATGAAGACAGCCTTGACAGATTCTCCAAACTGAAGAATCCTACCCCCTTAGCTCCACCTACTGATGATGCTGTCGCCCCGGTGAGAGACGTTCCATCAGCACCAGAGGGATTGACAGCAGTTATTGTAGCCACACGATTTGTCACTCTCAGCTGGAAGCCGCCTGCAAATCCTCGTGGAGAAATCTTGGTGTATTCAGTATATTATCGCAAGGAAGGATCACCAAGGTATGACTGTTTAAATAATATTTTCTTTGTCTTTTAAGTAAACTTTATTCAATTATTCATTTCATTGTTGCTGTATATGTGGAACATTTATATTTTTTTCTTTTACTGCAAAAGATATTGTTACTTAAAGTTGAGTTACAATTGATTTAAAGCTGATCCGTTATCAGTTGTGCATTGTAATGTGTGACACTTTCAGAATGCCTAATATTCAATAAAGATTAGGTTGATTGTGAGACAGTATTCAGAGAATATTTTATATAAAGAACATTAACAAATTCAGTAAATTCCTGTTTATTTGGGACAAACAAGTTCAAATTTTTTTAATAAAATCTTTTATTTAGAATATTTTCTGTCATGCAATGTTTTGAGGCACTTTTGGGCACACCTTCAGGCAACTGTAATGTAAAACAATATGATGTATGTTTTATATAAACATTTTTATCCTTATAAAATTTTGTAAAAACCACATAAAAACAAGTATATACAGATTTTCTAATTAAAATATATAAGAACTTCAAATTAGGATATATTTCAGCAAATAACTGTTAAAATATGTTAGTCCTGTATATCTAAGAACATGAATCTCGACGAAGCTACTATCCACTCACCAATGAATTCCATAATTCATCACCATCATTTCAAAAGGGGTATTAGTCCAGCAAGGCTGAAAATGTCCGATTAAAACAGCAATTTGAACTTACACATCTTAGAGTTGAAGCAGATACTTCTGTCATCCATACAATTTCTTTGCTTATTGTATTCATAGACACATTTTTGAACTACTTGGAATTTTGAATTTTAGAATTATGAAGGAAATAATTACTTGTTTTTATTATTATATTGAAGATATCTTAGTGGGTGAATTCCAAGCCTCTAAAACTTCATGAAATCAAATAATACTAAATTTAAAAGAGCATCCTGTTTATAGCCACATTTTAAGACATTGTCAATCATTAGCAGTCAGATTGATTTTTACAATTAACATTATTTTTGCTAATATGGGAAAACAACTCATAGAAGTGTATATGTCCAACTGTGATCTCAGCCATGTCTGTGAACTCGATGAAAATAAGCCTGCAGAAAACTGAAAAGTCTTACACATCTTCCACTTACAAGTCTTGTACATGAGAACATAGCTGTAATGTTTCGAGAAAGAAAGATGAAGAAATAGAATATTCCAGTGTGATTACAAGTTTTAATCTGAAGATCTGTTTGCCAGTGGTTTTTATTGTTGTTTAATTTCTGTAATTGCTTTGGTTGTTTCAGAGAACGTATTTTGAACACTACTCGGTCTCAGTTGGAAGAAGCTAATATTCCAGGACTGATGCCTGATAAGCTATACCATTTCAGAGTAGTTGCCTATAATGAACAAGGAGCAGGTGCTAGTTCGGAAACTCTGAGTATACGTACAGATCCTGAGGTGCATGTCTTGGGTCCTCCTCGTTCACTGGCAGCTATTCCAGTATCGCCCAATGCACTGCTTGTCATTTGGCAACCTCCTGTTGATGCTCCTGCTGGACCACCTCAGGGTTACAAGTTGTTCTATATGGAGGTAAGTTTGATTTTGCAAATATTTAGCAGTCAGAAAATTCGAGAGATGAAACTGATGAATATATTGATGAGTGGGAAATGATGACAGAGGATTAGTTTTATAATTGTGAATACAAATTACAGTAAAATTTCACATATACATTTTTTAGGAGCATTTTTTAGGAGCAGAAGCAAAAAAATATAAGTGGGAAAAACGCATAACTGAAATTGAACATTGCAAGTAAACAAAAACGTAATACTTTTATATTGGTGCACTCCATTTTTGGACTTGCTCGCAGGAACTACTACCAACGATTCTTTTGAATTGTTTGATTTGATATATTTAGTCAAATAACAGTAAAAACTGTATGTGACGAATGGGGAGAAGTGCCATCTGCACCCGTATCCTTGAGCTTCAGAATCCCTTCCCAACATTTTAATTGTAGATAGTTGAATGATGAATAAACGTTTCAAAAAAAGCTAAGTTTGCAACTTTTGAAAACTAGACATTTTCGCACCCAAGTCACAGAAAACTATTTTGCATCATTAAAAAAATAGTAACATACTCTCTGCCTCACTTCACCAAAGGGTGAGCTCAACAAAACATGCGCATAGTGAAGCTACATTTATGTCCAGAAGCAAAACAAGGGGCCATCTGAGCATTTGCTCAATGGCTTGGGGAAACAAGACAAAAACCTGTTCGAAACTGGAAGCTGAAGTACATTAATTGGTACTTAAAATACACTTAGGCCATAGGGGTGCCCGGTGGTGAAGATAGCACTGATATTCGCACTTTATGCAGCCAGTCCTTCAAGCCTGTGTCACACAAACTTTGCGTGACGCGCGTCACTTAACGGTGCGGACGTCAGCTGCGGCAACATGTGTCGATGCGGCAACACGAGTCGCCTAGCGCGCATCGTAACTCTGTCTTCTGCGAACGACACACCAGCAGTCTTCGCGACGTGCGTTGTGCCCACAGCTCAAGAGCGCTCGTGTGCCACTTGACCTGAGATAGTGTTAATCTTCGACGCGCGTCGTGACGTGACAGGCAACGACGCAGCTGAAGTCATCGTTTTGTGACGCGCGTCAACGCAACGGTCGTGTGACACAGACCAAAATGTCATTATTAATCTTCGGTTCCCTCGAGTTTCAATATTTCTTTTAAATGCGTCGAAACTTGATCGTGCATTGTTGGTGATAATTATGCAACGCCACACCGCACGTCACTAGCGCGAGCGCTCCAATTTTTTCCATTTCGTCTTGTAGCTTTGTCCAAAATTTCAAAAGGAAGAGTTGAAACCATTTGAAACGTCCTGTGTAGCGACGAAATTAATACTGGATTCAACTCAAAAATTCCATGGGCCATTCCTCTAAGATAATGTAAACGTTCTCACTTATTGATTACCTATGTTGTTATCATTTGGATGTTATACGGTCTTAAAGGGATTTTTGTTTTGAATGTATCAGCGTGAAAAATGTAAAAAGCTTATCTAAAATAACTTGGAATTTGAAGCACAAGAATTAATGTGGGACTTACAAAATCAACGTATAATCATGGAAAACATGCAAATACAAAACATATAAACTGAGTTTCACTGTAATTATTTATTTCCATTTGACTAATAAATGTACTTTTCTGTATTGTTTGGAAATGGTGTATTTTTTTATTGATTAAACAAAATAGACATGAAGATATGTCTGCTAGGTTGACAATGTGAATACATTACATAATTTTTAAAAATATTCTCATGTTATAGGTTGGTTCTGCTGAAGAACATCGAGTGGAAACACAGGAAACACATTTCAATTTGACAGGTCTTACACCATACACTGAATACAGTGTCTGGGTTATAGCATACAACCAGAACGGACAGGGTTCAAGTACAGAAGAAGTAACTGCCCGTACTTTGTCTGCTCCACCTTCAGACTGTCCACAAAATGTGACATTGGAACCTACAAGTTCATCTGTGAGTACAGTTCAAGCTCTCTCATGGTTTATTATTCTCTCACTTGACATATAGCATAATATTACAGAGAGGTTTTTGTGTTTTATGTACATTTCTTTATTAACAGGAAAGAATTGTATGAATGAACAGTATCATTTGCAATGTTTAATGGTCTAATTAAGTATATAGACAAATATTTAGACAAACATAAATATCCATAGCTTTTCTGCTTTTTTTTAATTTATTTTTTATTATTATTATTATTATTTAAGGTTGCATCAACATTAGGTCATTAGTGACCTTTTTCTGCTTTTAATCTGCAATTTAGTAATACTTTTCAGTAAATGTTTGGGCACTTCCTAAGTTTAAGATTCCATTTAACTAGTATATGTTTGAGTTTGTAAATACATATCTTTATTTTTTAAAGTTTATTGTGGTTTATCTAGGTATATATGAAAATTTATAAGCCTGTTATTTCTAAAGTTCATTAGAAAATGCATTAGAGTATTATCCAAACATTCAGTCCCAGCTGACTATAACTTGGTATTCTTAAAGACTAAAGTTTTTGTTGTATTAGAGATTGTCCATTAAATACATTTGTAAAAGTAGAACATATTTTGACCTACTTTGTAATCCTAACAATGCATAAATTTGTCCTTACGTAACCATAATCATGTTTTAGAGCATTCTTGTGAGATGGGAACCCCCTCCTAAAGAAGGTCGGAATGGCTTAATAACTGGATACAAGCTTCGCTTCCGCAAGCGGGATCGACGAGGTCGGGGTGGTGATGGAGCCAATACTATAAGTACACCAGGTGACCGGCGTTCACTCGCTCTTCCAGAACTGGAACGTGGAGCTCATTATCAGGTGAATGTTGTATTTATTGAATTTTTCAATTAGAGAAATAGTGTAAAATTCCATTTATTTGAAGCCAAATCAATGAGACATAATTGTAATTTATTCTTTAAAATAGTTTAAATAACACTTGCATGGCTTTTTAAAATTTATTTTGACAAGTAAACATTTAATAAATTAGTGGTAGAAATGTAAATAATACATAAAATTGTTTACACCACGTAATTAACTATTTTGAATGCAATTTTTAGGATCTCTCATTATGTAATTTTTATTATCTCACCTTACTATGTACATATGTAGAAAGTATCATAATGCTGCCACAAAAATCAACGATTTTTTGTCAGAAAAACTTGTGTTGTGGGGCACTGGTATAGACAAAGTGGGTAAATCTTGTTCCTATATGTAGAAAATTACATTCTCTAAAGTATTCTATAGTTGGAATCCATATTTTGTAGGTCCTAGTTAATGCAAACTTTCAACAGCAAAACTTCCATGAATCCATCCATTTGCTAATTGAAGGATCACGGTTCGAATCCCGCCTTGATGTATTTGTGATCATCCCTTCACCCTTCATCATCATACTATCACTTCATTAAAGAAGGATTAATAATTCCCTGTGTGAGCAGGAGGCTCTTGCCCTTAATGGGATGTGCATTTGGCTAATATATATATTAAAAAAATCCTTTCCAAAACTTCAATTTTAATGATGGAGATATTTTTACTTTCTTCCCTTACCACATAAGAAGTGAAAGTATTTTAATCATGCACCAGAAATTGCTGATTTTTCAACAGAAAATCTCTTATTGCCAGGCCCTGGTAGCAAGAAAGTGGATAAATCTTGTTCCTATGTTAGTAAAGTTTACTTCTTTGCTTTACAGGAAATCTCAACAACATTTTCAAAAATTTCTTAAACATTGCTCAAAATTTTTTGATTTAACTTTGTCCTCAGATAGTGTAAAGGACACTTAAAAGAATGGCGCAGGCTTTGTTTTTGCTGAAGTACCTGATTTTTCGAAAATCACAGAAGTTCAAAGTGTTTATGTCATCTTCCTACAACTATAGTATTGGAGATAGAGGTTTTTTCTTAATGAAATATGTTGTTCAAAGACAGATTTTAAAATAAGATCATTTACAATTTTTCGAAAATTTGAGACCTTTCCTTGTAATTTAGGCAATTTAAAATTTTTTTAAAACAATTATTTTCTCAGAAACCGTTCTATTTTATTTTTTTTATATGTAGCAAAGGAAGGTAAAAAAAGTGGTGTTGGTTCCATTTTTGGTGAATTTTCAAAAATTTACATTGCAAAAGAACAATATGAAGATAGAGATTTGTCTTTCATGAAATCTGGTCAAAAAATGAGATCTTTGAAAAAGATCAGATACAGTTTTTCGAAAAAGTAGTGGAGAATGGCCGAGTGTCTGGGTGGTGTAGTGATAAAGTACATGGTGGTAACTCCATTTACCTGTTCGAATCTTGGCCTGGTGAAAAAAATTTTGCTGGTTGGATACACATTTGCAGGTTCGCATAGTAGACTATTGCATAGCCATTACAAATAATGCGAGCAAGTTTGGGCTGTCATACCACCACTTTTTTTTGTGCATCTAGGTGAGGCTGGTGTAGGGTTAATGTGACTGATGGCTAACTCTAAGAATATGAGTTCGAATCCCAGCATGGAGAAAAAATGTTTGTTGGTTGAAAACACTTTTGTATGTTCATGTAGTATTATAATAATGTAGCCTTACAAATGGAACAAGAAAGTATGTTCCGTTGTAACACCACTAATTTTGGTTTTAGATTTTGTCTTTAAGAGGCTGGTTCGTGGAGTGTCTACTGTAATTAATTTGATTGATTCCGTTTGTGGACAATGAGCATAATTTTCGAAAACAACTAAAGAAATACCATTTGGATGCAATGTTATGTTATAATTGAAGATTTTTCTGTCCTTCTGAAGCCAGTTTTGGATGTGTGTCCACAGGTGCGACTATGGGCAATGAATGTAAATGGTACAGGACCACCTACCGAATGGTTCTCAGTTGAAACATTTGAGAATGATTTGATAGAAACCACTGTACCTGATTCGCCTCATGGTTTGAAAAGTATGTTGTGAAAATTATAATTTTTACATTTGTTACATATCTGTTGTACTGAAAGAGTTTACTGAATGTTATTAATGCATTTTTAGACTGTAAAGCTATAAAACTTAAGTTATAAAACATGTATTATCTCTTTTGTGGCTATTTGGGCTTTTGTTAATTGGCTCTTTCAGATTGAATTAGTAGTTACATTAAGAAAGTTAATTATTACACCATTGCTATAGAATTCATTTTTCAATTGGAAATGTGTTTGTTGCCATTTATGTCGGAATGTGTGCATGTATTTGTGTGGTGTTTGCAGCCCGTGCAATGGTCGACAGTATTACTGTGTCCTGGAGCCCACCTCGTAATCAGAACATCATGGTTCGTGGCTACACTCTTGGCTGGGGAAAAGGAATTCCTGATGTCTATACAAAACTTTTAGATGGGAAACAGCGTTATTATGTCATTGAAAACCTTGGTATGTTATTTACTGCCAGAGAACCTTCAATTTATTGTAGAGTGTAGGGTTCCCTGTTTATTCCATGCTTTTGTCTGTTCTTTATCTTGTTCATTTAGATTCATCTGTTATAAATTTAATGTAATGTAAAGTTTTAAGACAATTTATGGTACAAATCAGATTTCTTTTCTGTTGGATGCAAATAGTGAAACCGTATAGCCTTTGAAGTGAATTGTGAAGTTTGTGTTGTAAATTTGATGTGAGTGGAGTGATATTTGGCTTATGTATCTGTCTTTGAGAAAATGTCCAGTGGTCACTTTCTGGAAAACTGGGGAATGTCTGTGCTCGTCATAGATCTGAAATATCTAGCAAAAACAAAGAAAAGATCAAGAATCATTGGAAGTCAGGAACATTTTTGAGACATATATAACTATGTATTATTTCTTAAAACGCATATGCACAATATTATTTTGAGGCACAATTGCTATTTGTGCAAAATATTTTAAATTTGTCTTCTATCATGGCAAGAACATAGAGCTGACAAACAGATAATTAGAGGGTCTTTGTGCTTTGAATCAGTGTGTCACCGTCTCGCACAATGCATTAGTGTAAGAGAATCTGACAGAAAAAAAGGTTCAAAGTCAGTAGCAGTGTTTTAAAATTAGCTGTGTGTTCTATTACACCTAAGCTGGGAAAGTGGGAAAACCAATGTAAAGAATGATTGTCTAATGGTAATTCATGCTTATTATACACTTCTTTTGGAACTTGTTCAACCCTAAGACATTGAACTTTGGGGCATTTTTCAGTACTTGTTGGAGGCACAAAAATGTGCAATGAAGGAAAAGTGGTGAGGATTAGCTTTGCAATATGCTAGCCCTTACGACCCTCTCCTTTGTGTTGGAATGTGTTGTTAGGAATGGAAATTGGAAAAGTTTCCAGTAACTGATAATTTATTAGCTTTTCATGGATAACTGTTTCCATCAGGGAGAATTGGAAAAGAGAAAGCCTTTCAGCAAAACTTGCTGTGATATTTTTGTAATGTTTTTTGATTAAGAGATAAACACCAGAAAAACAGCCACAAATAAACCCTAAAATATGTTATTGTTATTGTGTAATTTGTATTAAATAATAATTGGATATAGAAGATATAATAAAAACATTTTTCAAATTAGTAATAGGTACCAAGTCTTAGTTTTACATATTTTCTTCAGTTACTGTGAAATGCTCTACAACTTTCATTTGTACTAGAAAACCAGAAGTAAGGGAAATTTTCCTTGTAAAAGAGTGGCCATTTGCGAGGATTATTTTTACTATTATTAAAATGTCGATTCATTTAAGATATTAAAGAAATAGCAAATTTCATCTAACAGTGCTCAAATGTGAGTAATTGTTAATCATTGCTGGTGGAATACACAAGCAACATTTCTATTTCATTACATTTTTATAATACTTGGGTATTATTTTATATTTATGTTTGCATACCATTCACACTAATTTTGAGAAATTACTTACTGTCTCCGAGAAAAAATATAATGTATTACACAAATAGTGTTTGACCAGAGACCATATTCCTTTTTGCAATGTGGTATTGTTTTATATCCTTCCCCTGTGCCTGCATATTATGTAGTGACTCAAAGTACATTTCAATGTTTCCTTGATTTGAAGGTAAGATTGATTATTTTAGTATTGTGGAAAATAAAATAAAATAAAAAAAACACACACACAATCAAAAACAAAAAAAACACACACACAACAACTCTTTGTTGATTTGATGAGTTATGTCTTCTAGTTAAATTTATAATTGCTCTTAGTGTCAATGTTTGAACAATTTTTTATTTTGTTTTTGTGTTCTAACAGAACCAACTTCTGAGTATGTTATCAGCCTTCGAGCATACAATGAAATGGGAGATGGGCCACCTGCTTACTCATCTGTTCGAACTCTTGATAATATAGCTCCGGAGCCCATAACTCCTCTCCATCCACCTGTAGGACTAATGGCAATTGTACTGTCTTCTCGGTCTGTTGTACTGTATTGGACTGACACAACATTATCTAAGAATCAGGTATAATATTGCTGTAATATTCATTATGAAACATTTAACATGATGTTTTTTGACATGAAGATTTTATAGAATGATGTTTTTTGACATGAAAACAAGATGAAAGTGAATGATAAATATATTTTTTAACAGCAAGTTACAGATAGCCGCTACTATGTTGTACGATATACTTCTCAACACCATGCTTCAAGTCCACGTTATAAATACTTCAATGCATCGGACCTCAACTGTATGATAGATGATCTTAAGCCTAATACTCAATATGAGTTTACAGTGAAAACTGTTAGAGTGAGTACACATATTCGTATCTCAAGTATAATTCAATAAAGAAAATGGATTTAATCGTCTTTTTAATCATTTTCAAAATAAAAATGAAAACAAATAAAGGAAATGGCTACTACTTGAGTGATCAAATATATACTTTTAAAATAAAAGGCACAATAATTTGTAATCTTTGTATTTAAAGTAAAATTGAAAAGTAAATTAAAAAATTACATAAGAATGATACAAAAAGATAACTTTTAGTATTTGAGTGCGCATGTATTTTAAACTGCGCAGAGTATAAAGAAAATAGCTTGTAGTTTTGATATGATATAAAAGTATTTTTCTCATGAAGGTTTTAAAACCATGTTCAATGAATGTTGAATGAAGTCAAAACAAAACAGTGATGACCTGATTACTTATACAATTGATTTTATTAACATATATAAATATAAAAACAGAAATTACATGATCTTTTGACTATGAATCATGTACCTCTTTAAACAATAATGCATATCATTATAAATATTGTTTTTGAAAAATATTTATTTGCTTTTAATTTTATATTCCATACAATCCAATTTTCTTTTGGCTTTTAGTCATTATAAATATTATCTTCATTCCAGTGAGTTGTAGTGACACATTCAAAAGTCTTATATGGAATCTTTAATGTTTTCAGGGCCGGAGAGAGAGTCCTTGGAGTATGGTAGTTTTAAATATGACTCAAGAAGATCAACCATATTCACCACCACGAGACTTGACTGTTGTACCTGTTGCAGAAAATCCAACAATGGTCAATATGAATTGGCAACCACCTAAGCAGCCTAATGGTCCTATTACTGGTAAGACCAAATTATGCAACATCAGTCAATTTTTGTTTGTTTTGTTGGTTCCCAGAATGTCTTTTGTTTACATTGTATTTTTATTTCATACTAGTTCTAATGATATTTTTCATGGTCAAATAGATCAGTGAGAAATTCACAATGGTGTTCTGCTTGTAATTGTGAATTCATAAAAGTATGTAAACTTGAATTTCTTTCCTTGTGTTACTCATACACAACATACAACTTTGAACTATCATGCTAAACTTATTTTATTTAATGTTCATATTTCATGTTTTCTCCTCAATTAAAGCACTAATTTATCACAACAAAATATTTAATTTGCTTCACCTCCTTTTTCATTGTGTGCAGGTTATCTCATCCTGTACACTACTGATAGCTCTCTACCAGACCGTGAATGGGTTGTGGAGGGCATTGTTGGTGACAGAATGACAACAACAGTTAAGAGCCTGACTCCAGAAACAACATACTATTTTAAAATACAAGCACGCAATAGCAAGGGTTATGGGCCTTTTTCTAGTGTTGTGTCCTTCACCACTGGTCCAAGTAAGTTAAAATAATATTTTGGCTTTTGAATGAGCATAGACATGTGTTTTGAATGTGGCATGAAAAATACTTTTATTGCAAGTGTACAGATTTATTATCATTTTTTAATACATATACTTCATGTGATCATCCTCTTATCTCACAGACATATATTTGTACAAAATGAGCATGCTTATTCTACCATTTAGTGTGAATTGGTGTGATGTATGAAATGTGTGTTAAATGTGATTGATCAGCAAGTTTTTAAATGTGATGGAAAGATAAATGGATTATGCTATATAGAATTGAAGTAATATAAAACAGGTATCATTTAAAATAACTTTTTTAATTTAGTAAGAAAAAACCATGAATAAAGTACAGGGTTTGCTCTCCATAACTATTAGAAGTAGATGTTATGGGGGATTACAGATATTTTTGGCTTATAATATGAGTTTGTGATTCAGTATTAAATAGATTAATACCTCTTAATAGAATTAAGAATATATTTAAGGTTGTCTAAAATATATACTGAAGCAAAAAAAGTAACAAATAATGTTTTAAATTTTAGTTTCTGGAGCTTTATTAAATTCATTCCTCTTCTATTGTAATAAAAGATTTTGTCTGAAGTTTACTTATGGGGAATTACAATATTTCATTTAATGAAATCAGTTGCCAACCTAACAGTTGTAAGTTTTCATGAGTCTTTTACCTTATGGTGATTGACGTGCACAATACAGAGTACAATGGCAATGAATTGGATGCGCTTAGTGCTTAGTATGGTGGGAAACAAAGGGAGATGTTTTACAGTGATATCGTCAACAAAGACTTGTGTCAAACAATGATCATTGTCAGTTTGCATTGGAGAGGCTCAAGGATGTATGTTAATCAAGTAGGCCAAAGCCTCTTTATGAACTTCAACACTTGTAGCAACATGTTCAATGTGACTTCAAAGTGTTTGGCTAGAAGATAGTTAGGAATAAAATGTGTTTGAAATTACGCATTGGGCAGACTTGATGTTTTGTGTTAATAGCATAGGCTGAAGGCTGGAGTCTCATCATGAAATTGTGTAAATGTATAATGAATCATCTAAACACTTCACTAATTTGAGGTTATAAATAAGGTACCATTCTGCTCATTTGTTGTACATGCTTTCAATCAATGAGGCTGGTACTGTGAATCAGTATGAACAAAAATGACATATATTCCCACAACTCTTTGTCTGTAGAAATTGGTTAAATCATTCTCATGTGTTTTCTCTTATTAAAGTAATTTGTCCATTAGAAATTTAATATACCACCTACTCTCAGGGTTTATAGTTCATCAACCAATAATTATTAGCAGTTTATTATTCACCAGATATTCATGTATTATCTTGCATGTTACAAGTGCTAAATTTGTGAAAGATATTTCTTAATTAAATAATGATTAGATAATTGTTGTGAAGGTAGGTAATAACAGCAGTTATATTTTCAGCATGTTTTATTCTCAAAATATGAGAATATTGATCTGAATTCATAAAGTTTGTTTTGTAGCAATGTAATGATGCTAATAAAAATGATTACAAATTTTCATGTAGTATTTTTTGAGGTTCGATTTTTTTTCATCTTTAATTTTGTGGAAATGTAAAAAGAAAAAAGAAAATGCTTTGTGCATTATGTAACTTGAGCATGACTAGTAGTGTTCCGTTTAAGGCTGATCACCCTTGCAGGTTTAGAAAATTACATATTTGTGAAAAACTTTCCTAATATGCCATAGGATTATGAAGTTCACTCCAGTGTGTTGCAATCAAAACAAATCATAATTGAAAACTATGTCAGTGACCTTTACCTTTAACATGATCTGTATGTGTCAAAATTATTTTTTGTGCCAACCAATTAAACTGTGGATTGTTCTTATGTTTTGTATTCATTTTCTGCATGATTGCAGCCATTTATGTGGCATATTCTTTTGTAATCATATTTCTCTGAAATTCCTATTTACATTTTGCATTGTTTGAAATCAGCATGATTCAGCATCGTGGATAAAATTAAACCCAAGTTTTTCTTCTCTTTATTGCTTGATGTATTTTGTTTCATGTAACCATTTTATAAGTTTCAAGTTATCAGCTTGTTTTATATTCCATTTTATTTATATTTATTGATTTTTAGTATATTAATTATTTATTTAATTTTGTATATATTCAGTTTATAGCTATTTGGTCTTTCAATGCAATAGTTGTGGTTTTCAGAAATTTTCAAATGAAACTGTTATAATTTGCACTAAGTGGAGAGGAGTCAAATCCTATTTTCCTATACTTGTTGTGGAAGTTAATCCCAATAGAGCAGGCCTTCATAAAACTTGTTTTTAGTTTTTAACGTTATGTAATTTTTGCAAAGTGAAACAGAATTATTATGAATGAAACATTATAGGAATTACAAGAGTGTTACATCAAGATTATAGTTTTTCTGTAGATATCTTTGATTTTTCAAGTATTTTTGCTGAGTAATGTGTATGTATAAAAGTTTTTATGAGCTTCTATTATTCTATGTTTAATATTACAAGTAATGTAATTCTGTGTGTTGTTAAAGCCTTTCACATGATTCTTGAAATTAGAGAAAAGAGTAATGGCGAATTTCATTATGGACCAAAAGAGCCAATAAATAGTAAGTAATCAAAAGGAAGATTAGAATTACCTTTGACATTATGAGAGACCAGGGTTAAGTAGTCACCTCATGTTATATCCAGAACATTGTACAATAAGAATATGTCATAGGTATAGTCCATGTGAAATTGAATTCACCCCTCTACACCCCCAGGCCATCACCAAAACAAAACAATATTTTTAATTTAAAAGTTCGAAGTTTCAAAGCTAAACATGAATATAATTTCACTAAAACTTCAATAAATCTGTTAATAGGCTTTCACAGTATGTATGATTTCTTTTTAAATGATGACTTTTTTAAAGTACATTTTTACCTGTTTTAGTTATAATGTATGTATACATTTGATTCGATTCCAATCAATACCAGGAATTGTCTCCTTGACTCTTCATATCAGCTTGCAGTTGCAAAATTTCTTGCTAGTATCATATATTTTAGCCCACCCCTCTCAGTACTGAGTATAGAAGTACCAACACTAAATATCAGACACATATCAGACGCATTTTTAACATAGATGGTTGTAATGGTTGATAAGCTCACCAATTTTTTTTGCAAAAGTTGATTAAGAATTTTAACATGTTTTTTTAAAATTTTTAATTAACTTTTGGAAAAAATTAGTCTGCTTATCAACCATTACAACCATCTATGTTAAGAGAATTTGATGTCAGTTGATGTAATATTATCAGTGTAAAGCTGGCATAAGTCAATTACAAGTATCATTAGGAAATAATTATTCTTTGGCTTGTTCAGCTAAAGAAAAAAAATTAAGAACCAGTTTTGGAATCTGAGACATGCAAATTTTTGGATGTCATATGACATATTTCATATATTCAGTGCACAAAGAAAGCAAAACAACTGCAATATTATCATTTTATAGTTTAGTGAAGAAATCTTTTAAAAAAATTATTCATAAAGATTAGTTCATAATTTACGAGAGAGATTGTATATAGAGTAAAACACATTGCCTTTGACCACAAAATAAACTGCTTTTAAAATAAACAAAAGAAACACATTGCCTTTGGCCCCAAAATAAACAAAATTACAGAGATTAGGTCTACATTTTGAGATTACTGTTTTATTTTGCACCTACAATATAGCTAGAGGGTGAATTTATATGCACTAAAAATAACCAAAATGTGCTTGCATTTTTGCACTTAAAAGCAGTGAAATACGCACAAATAATGGGGATGAATTATGAGTAAATTACTTCAAATGTATCTTCTTCAATTACTACTATTTGGTTTCTAGTCTCTTGCACTAATTCATTGCACAGTGGTATCAGGTATTTCTTTCTCAATTCTATAGATTCATGTGAAATCTCGGACAGTATTTCTCCAGGAAATTACATAAATACATCGATTTTTTTTAACGGCAGCATTGCACTTAATATATGTGAGGAGGGGATTTATCCTCTCTTTTATCCGTTCTGATTGTTGTTGTATGTCTCTGTCAGAGTTAACTAGTTTCTTAACAATTGCCTTTCATAGATTTCTTATGTGAACCACTACTTTGATTTGTTGCATAATTTCTTGTAACAAGAAACCTATGTGAATATAACATGCAAAACACTGAAATGTGTTAAATGGAAAGTATTCAATATTTCATTTAAAACCATTTTCCTGTGATTAGATTTGTTTGTTAGACACTGACAAAAACAATTTTTCCGTCAGTTGAGACATTATGTATTTGACATTGACATTCAGAAAAGAAATTATGAAGTATTTTCTCATGATGCTATTTTAGCTGCGGATAGCTGAGCTTAACAAATATTGCACATATTATGATAAGTTTCAAGGCACATATATTGAAGAAAATAATGTCACAATATTTTGTAACAAAATGGAAAATGTTTTTGCTCAGCAATCAGAAAGAAAAAATTGAAGCAATGTTACCTATTTTTATTTACAAGTTACAGAATATTCAGTAACCTGTGAAATTAAAGATAGTGCAGTTCCTGATTGAAACCATTGTTAGTTCAGACTCGATAATATAGTTTGTGATTCAATTTCAATAGGTTCTTAAATTCTTGTTCTACCACAGCTGTATTCTTGTCGACCCAATAGATTGTTTAGATATGTCAATGGATCTCCATCTGTTTATTACAGAAGGCTTAGAACTATTTCTATTAGAATTAAGATGATTACAATGAAGTTTTTTTTTTATCATTTAGAATTATTTTACATTATTTATGTGAGAATCGTGTTTTTCTTACAAATAAAAATGAAGGCCAACTCATGAAATATTTCTTTGAAAGCCAATCGAGATTATTTTGAAAGAAAATACTTGCATTTTTAAATAAAAAGTTATTAAATGATATTTGAGAAAGTTAATAAATATTATTTGCTATAATTTTCATTTTGAAATCTTTTTCTGCATCAAAACGTGTTTTTTATTTGCTTTTTCATTTTCTTATTTCATCATAACTACATTTCGCTCATTGAGAGACCAAATTTGCAATTGTTTCTTACTACTTATCAGTTTGTGCCTGTATGTTGCCTGCTGCCTGACTGTACCCCTGTTTGTCTACAGGCCGCAACTTTTATGATGCCGACACACGTGGAGCTCAAATGCGTGGTATGTATATATTGCTGAAATTAAACTATTACTTAAGTATTGTCAGTTAGTGGCATCATTAGTTTTATTGGACTCAAATATGAACTTTAAAAAGTTGTAAGTCAAATCAGATTTCTCTACAAAGCCAATTGAATGAGTGTCAATAATATTTTTTGGTACATTCATGGTTTGAAACACCTCAACATTTGAATGGAGTTTTGTAAATAAAGATTAAAAAGGATTGGTATGGGGTTCCAAAGTATCGTAAGAAATGTAATTAAACGTTATTATATTACAACTTTGATGTATTATGATATTAAGTTTTGCCTTATTAATTTCTGTTACCATTTGTATTTTGTGTAAAGTTGAGTGTTGTGTGTATAATGATGGTTGTTTGATCTGGAAAATATTCTAATAATCATAAATGATAAAAGTATTTAATTAATTTAAATGTTAGCACTTGTGGAAACAGACTGAAAATATGAGTTTGGGGTACACATTTATCGTTTCTCTTTGAAGTAGACCCAACTTTACTGTTATGTTTTTCCTTTATCAATAGGAACTTACCTAAGTTGTTTTGTTGGTATAAAATATATGTTGATGAACAAAACAATCTGACATTCAATAGAAAGCAGTCATTAGTTTCAATGAATTCATGTTGGTTTTCCAAGTACAAATGTTGAGAACAAAAAACTCAAATATCAAGAGCAAGTGAGGCATCGAGGGTAAAGCTTGTTTTTTCTGGAAGAAAGGTTTTTTCTTAATGTGTAATAATTGTACATAAGCATTCCTCTGTAACTTAAATACTGTTGAATGTCTCTAGTTGAACTTTTTTGTGAAACTATGCATGTTTTATGTATCTACACTTCTGCTACACTGTCAACAAATTCTTAAAAACTTATTATCTTCTCTAAAATTTCTTGCATGTGAGAATGAAACAGTGGTAGCAAGCAAACTAGAAAGCATGCATTTATTGCAAGATTGCCTTTAATAAGCAGCTTGTTAATGCCAGATTTGGTTACATGAAATATTCAGATTTGACTATATTAGTGCTGGAAAGTATTATTTTATAGATAGTACTTAATTCTATAAAAAATGATGTTAGGAAGTTATAAATTAGTGGATTCCTAGGATAGAAATAGTGGACATTTAATATTGAAACATTAACCTAATAAACAAACAATAGGACATTAATTCTTGGAACAGTTTCAATTGCTTAGTTAAATTTTGCACAAGAATGTCTGTTTTTATATTGCAATGTACAAATGAATTTCTGACAATTTTACCAGTAACCATAAACAAATAGCAATAATCTTAATCTTCAAACAAATTCAAACAAACATGCATCCAAAAAATGTACTTCACAAACAAAATTATTCCCACAATTTAGGGACCATTCATCTCCATGTGCTGGGCCATTGTGTGTCAAATTTTACCTCCATGCACCATTGATGAGGGGGACTGACATCACCGATAACTTTTACTCTGTGCCACAGTGTGCCATTGCATAGGAATGGGAGGCATATGAATACTCTTTTCTGGAAAAAATTGTCATTTTTGGTGTATTGTTGTTGGACAATTTTTGCTTATAGTTTATATATTCCCAAATGCTTTTAGACTAACAAGAGAAGAAAATTATTCCATGGCTCCTCCAGCACTAAATCCGTACATTGTAATTTGCATTCAGGTACTATTTTAATTCTCGTTAATGAAACTTCAATCTCTTCCCATGCCTAAAACACATTAATAAGCAGGTTACGTGAATAATTATTGTAAAAATGTTTATTTGAAGCTTGAGGTGAAAGAACAGAAACATTATTTGAGAAACCTCTTTATTTTTAAATAAAGAATGTAGAAGGAAATTGTGTTTTAACAGTACAAGAAGAAAAAAATATCTGAGATAAGGTTTAAAATTTTGTCAGTAGGTAAAAACTGGATGACTAATAAACCTCATAGGTATTTTTTTGTGTCTGTTAGGAGAAAACTTTTGGTAGAAAAGGCGTCCTGTTTGAAAGTGAAGTTTTATTTAAGAAATTTAGAAAACAGTTTTGGTTTGAATGTGCTGTAAAAAAATATAACTTTTGAAAATTGGGAATATTAGTTCTTGAATTCAATATTTAGTAATAGTTATTCCTATTAGTGCTAATATAGTAGTGTTGATATTTTAGTCTTTTAATGTTTTGTTTCAGATGGAAGGGGTATTCCACAAACAATTGTTTATATTGTCATTGGCTGCAGTGTAGTTGTGTTTACTGTTTTGGTGGGTCTTGGAATCTTGGTTTGTTGCAAGAGGAGATCAGCAGAACGCAGTAAAAAAGGGTAAATATAACTAATTTTAATCCACAAAATAAATTTTAAACATGTTTCTAATTAGTTTATAACAATAGATATGTTTTAGATTTGTAGTGGAGTTACAGAAATTATTTTTTCTCAATCCTGCTTTCTTAGTACTGAAAACATTTTTCCATCTATTTTGTAAAGTACATAATTTCTGTTAGAAATTCCAACCATCCAGAATTTATCTTCTTTTTTTATTTTCATTGATACTTAATTTACACCATTCCATTTTTTAGCATACTTTCTCCAACTGTTGTCATTAGATTATTACAGAGGTGCACCCATGGTTTTTCTCATGTGTGTGTGTGGGGAGGTGCTACAGGTATAGTGTCCAGCCAAATTATTTTTACTTCTAACAGATTTTTCATTTAGGCTGAATTAATTCTATTTTTAATTGGTGACTTATTGTTAATATTTATAACATAATCAATTTATATTTTGAATGACTTTTGTTAGTATAAACAATTAGTTAATTCTATATCTTATAATATGTATCGTTAGCTTCTGGGAGAGCTGAAGCTCCATGACCCTCCTCCCCCCTTGGTTGCACCTCTGAACTATCTGCTATTATTATCAGTTGTTTAGACACTACTGGTAACCCTATCAAGAACAACCCTAGATAATGAACATGAGATTCTTTCAAGACAGAATGCACTGAGAAATATGTATTTAAAATAAGTTATAAAATTTGAAGTTGTTAATGACCAATTTATGTATTAATTTATAATTATTTATTATATATGTATATAATTAATACATTCATTAAAGTTTAGGTATTGTTTATTTATTTGTTATGAGCACATGTATATTAACAAAGTTGCTGTTTCTCTGCCCTCAATTTGTAGGCATTTCTGTTCTCAGTGTTAAAAGCAAAATTCTCATAATAAATACCTCCAAGTAAATGGTCATTACAATTGAACTGGTACATTGTTCAACTGAAAGAAATATTGTCAAATAAGTTGTCTCAGCATAAGTTTGAAGTCTTTAATTGTGTTCTAAGATCAACAAGTATAATCAAATATATTTAATTGTAAAGTCTTGGTATATTCTAAATTACGTGTTTATTCTTGCATTGAGTAAATGAAAATATCTTCTGTTTTCAGATACATGAAAGGTGCTATAAAAGGCAAGCCTGGTAAGCAAAACATCAAGCCTCCAGATCTTTGGATTCATCATGACCAGATGGAGCTGAAAGCTCTGCAGCAGCAGGCAGGTGTGAGTGGCAGTATTGGAGGTCCCTCTGGAGATGGAGGAGGTCCATCAGGAGTACCCGCTACCCTCCCTCGCACAAGCCAGACAATGGGTTCTAGTGATTTTGATCAAGATCATCATGATGGAACCAAGTTTCACAGTAATTCACTGGACAAACGTGGATATGTCTCATCGTATATAGGTAATCTGTAACATTTTTTCTTGCAGGTACATAGTAACCATTGTTTTGAGAATTACATGAAAATCTCTGTAAATCTACCCTGTTTCCTACATCACCATGAATCTTTCATACCATTTCTATATTCTCTTTTCTCTTGTGTACTGCTTGTTATTCTGTGAATGCTCCTGTATTTATACTTATTTTTAACCAGTTTGTGTATTATTTTTGTGAAATGATTGGTTGGATGGAAATCTTATTATTTCTAGAATATAATGAATTAATTCAGTTTTAAAGTTGTTATTTTTTAAGGCAGAAACTGTAGCTACGTCTTTAGTAATATTGAATGAAATACATGGCATTTACAAGAGTAAATTTGAAAAGAAGAAGTTAAACTGGCAAGTACAGATTTTTTTACTTCTTCAGAATAAGTAAACTACATTTTCAGAAGTGACAGTTTATGACATCCTGTCCTTTGCAAATGATGTTGCAAAGCGTAATTCACATAGGAGAGGTTGTCATGTTGAAGGAATTGAGTGACTGAAAAGAGAAGGGGTTAGAGATGGAAGAAGTAATTACAATCACATGGTGGTTGATTTTAAGTTTAATCTCATGACTGACCAACTGTCACCGCATAAATACAGAAGAAAGGCACTGGGATGAGAGGGAGAGAGAAGAGAAAGAGAGCACAATAGAAGATAATGAATGAAGAAATATCAAGTTGCATTTGTAATGGCAACAACTGCTTACCATAGCCTCCAACTCTCCAGTAGGATGGTGTAGGGTGGGTGAAGAGATCTTGTTGTTTATAGTTGGGAATAATTTATTAAAATGGTTTAATCACTCTAAAAATGTGTAGTTCTAATTTTTTTTAGTATTGAAAAATAATGAGAGGGGAGATAAAAATTACAACTTTGAAGAAATAGTCACTACCCTCATACATACATTTAATCTTTTTCTTTTTATTATTCTTAGAATTTGCCATTGAGTACATTCAGGACATTTTATGGAATGGGTTGCTTAAGTTATGTGACCATATTTTAATAACAGCATTTTGCATTTTATTATTACTTATGAGGTTTTATTGTAGTTGTAAAACGTAGAGGCTTGTACTAGAGCATCTTTGTGTTTCAAAAGATGTTTACATTTTGATGTGGACCATTCAACTGATATTTTCTTCTTATTTCATTTTTCCCTTCAGTCATTAAATATAATTTTGCTTGTATTATGGACACTGTTTTCCATTGAGACATTAACATTTTTTGTGATATTTTAAAAATGTTTACAATAACCAACTTCACTATAAATTTTAGAATTAAGATGTGATTGAAAAAAGTGGAGAAAATATAAAAATTTCCTTTTAGATTCCTTGTTAAATTCTTTCTAGAGACAATCTTTTAAAATAATTATTGCTACTGCTTCAATCCAGTTGCATTAACTTTGCTCTCCATGACTGTTTTCCCTACTCTTTAGAACTGATATGTTTAGGTACACATTTTATAGTGTCTTAATGTATGAAGAGAAATAGCATGTTTTTCATTTTAATGCTAGCCTGAAAGCACACTAATTTACATAACACTGCTTCTGTTGAAGGTGTGAGAGCATGCTTATTACTTACAGTTCAACATTATTGATTTGACTGTTGATTGATAATTAATTACAATTTTATTTTAAAGTAATATATTTGTTCACTTTATAAGAATATTTAGAAATATGAGAATTCCATTGTCAATATCTACTTTTCAGTATGGGATTCTAAGAAGAAATTTTTATATCGAAAGAACCTCTGGGAGATAGGAATTTTTATTGTGGTTTTCGATAGTCCAGATTGGCTCTTCCTAGTTTTGCAGCATTTGCCTGCCATTAGAGGATGAATTAAGAGAGGACATGAGTGGATGGATGGGTAGACTTTGATTTTTCAATCAGGACTAGAATATCTTGTGCGATGATTCCATATGGCTGTAGAAGTAGTTAATAAAAATGGAATGATAGTTTCTGAAATCCTAAAATATGAATTCAACTGCATACTAGAAAATTTACATAGTGTGTTAAAAATTAATAAGGTTGTGCTGTAAATGTGATTCCATGGAGTATATACTCACATCTTCAGTTCTATGTGTTAATTGTATTTAATATGATTTTGTTCTAATGGTGATGGCTTGCTAATTTTTATACTTCACAATTCAAGGTCCCATAAATATCTTACTTCTTTGACAAAAGATTTCAACTTCAGCCTGAAAACCAGACAATCATGACTTCTATTTAAAAAATATATCTTCAGTTAACAGTATACAATAATATAATTTGTATTAACTAAGGTCTCATAAAGTTTAAAACTCTTTGCCTGGATGAAAAGCAAACATAGTATTGGATATTCTATTACGCTATTCTTCAATGAGGACACCTTATCCTGATCCTCCATGTGCATCAGAGAGCATTTTTGCCTTAGTTTTTTGTTAGCTCAGTAGTTGTTGAACTGGAAGACTAATTATTTGCTGCGATGCTTGAGGAATGTGTCTCATGGTAGAGGTTTGAAGTTACTTCCAAGGACTTAGGGCCAAGGGCTGTAGGTTTGGGAGGCATAAGGCAGAAGAGTTTCCACCATGTGATTACAGTGTGGTTAGTTGACTACACATACCACTAAACATTACATGGGAACCATTATCCCATTCGTAAGTGTTCATCTCTCATCATCATTCACTCCACTTGATCACCCCTAATATCATCATAAAGTGGAAGGCGATGGCTAATCACCTCTGTGATCATGTGCCCAGGAAAGGGGAGGATATGAAGGTGTAAGGGGACCTTGCTCCTCCCTTGCTCCCTCCTCAAGGACCGAGTATTGCACTGTTTGAGAAACTATACCATAGAGATAAAATTTTTCATGTAATACTGTGATGTGTAGTGATTGACAAAATGAAAGAATTTTATTTTCCCAGGTCAAGAGTATAAACTTTTTGAAGTGTCTATATTGACTTCAGTATAGTTACATAATATAGTATTAATTTTTATCACTTTGAATCAGTTTTTATGAACAAAGGACCTTGAAGTGTGAGTTCCTAGAATCTTAATTGGTCATCCTTGCTTGCCCTCTGGCTGGCAAACTGCTATTTGGGCTTTGGCTATCCACTGTCTTGCATCCCCCTGCACTAGTTCTATGTATCACCCACTAGGTGGAGAAGAACACAACTCTACAGCACGACGAGTCATCAAACCCAAGCCCATTGGGTCTGGAACTCTGCCATCTAGAGACTGTAAGTATAGAACACTACCAGAGAAGACACTGGTACCTAGGACATTTTACAAATGGTTTTTCCTCAAATTGATGTGTATCTAGATTTGTTTGCTATTCAGTGTTTTCAAGTTGACATGTGTAAATTTTATTTCAAATGTTGTCGTTGTTTATTTATTAACTCTTACATCAGAGCTTGCATTGATATATCATACCTGTTGTCTAATTATGCATGACTGTTCTTGATCAAGAGTACCTTACAATATGCTCCTTCAGTATGTTCCTATTGTTACCTATATTGATTACGAAAATTTAAAATAAAATAATAGAGTTCATTGTGTTTTGTCTTGTATGTCATAATAGTGACAATTGATTGCTGAATAAATTTTAAATATTTGCCCAGTATGTACTTTTGGGAGCTAAAGAGGGAACCAATACAATAAAACAACATTTTAATTGCCCACACAATACTTCTGGCTGAATATGATCTGTCGTGTAGTTGGCTTCAAAAATTAACAATCTGAAAGGTTTCACAAAGCATTTATATATCTTAGTTATATCCTAACATCTTGTGAAATGTGTTCATTAATTGAATTTCACCATTAAAAATCTTAATAGTGAATGTTCACATAATACAGTGCATGAACGCAACAACTTCAACAGACACCTTTTATAATAAACATGTTGGTTTACTTGTGAAAACTAGTGCTCAAGCAGTTGACAGTACAAATATTTATCTTTTCATTTCATGTTTCAAATTTTCTTGATTTAAATGAACATAAATTGAATCCAAACTTGTTGTTTGAAAGGAGAGTCTTGCAGCATAAAGGTTCACGCATAAGCTTTCCATTGCGAGGGCCTAACTTTGATCTCTGAACAATCCTTTTAGAATTTGTTGTAAATAAAGCAAGCTCTGAGCATGTTTTCTTGGGATTCTTTCATGGGTTAAAATTTCTTCTGCTTCTCAATCACCTCATCATTATTATCTCTTTATCTCTATCATCTACTCATTCACGCTCTATTATCTGTTCATATTTGGAGGTCACTATGACTGAGGAAAGATATCCATGAACCAAATATCCTTAATGCTAAATGTTCAGAAAACCAGAAGGCCAAAACAAAATGTTATGTATTGTAGATCAAAGAGGAATGTCCATTAACCCCAAGGCCCAAAAAATTCTAAAACTTGTATTGGTACAATAAAGAGCAATTCTATCTCGTTTTTCTTCTTTTGGTTGGGAGGTCTTTAATTCTGTCATAACTAAAGGACAAAATGCAGTGGAATTACTGGTGTAGGACAAATTCTCACTATCAATTATTTCATATACTTCCTTATTAATCCTTTAATCTCAGAACTAAGAGATCAATTAACTTAAGTTAATAAAATTAAAGAATTTTTTTTGAAAACAAAAGATAGAATTTCACTCTAAATTTCAAATAGTATTAAGTGCTCATCATGAATACAGCATTTCTTAGAAAATGTACTAGCTGAACAACATGATTATGAAAACGAAATGTTACAAATTTGTTTGGGACACACAAAGTCAGTGTAAATCCTTTGCAATGAAGCTGAAGGAACTGAGTACTTTCTTATTTTATAGTTTTTCATATAAAGAAGTGTATCTATGAATAGGGAGTGAGGTAAACCAACTAAATTCAAGTAATTACATAATAGGAAGCTTTTCATAATAAAAAAGTGTTGTTTGTTTGTTGTTATTTTCCCAAAAAGTAATTTGTTCAGTTCTATTAAATTCTGCTTCAGATTAGTGAAAGTGTTAAGTTAATAGTTTTCTTTGTTTTGTTTCAAAGTAAAATTTTTAATCAATTTATAGTTTGCATACTCATTGAATGATATATTTAGAGGAAATATTAGCTTGTTAAGTATTTAATGTAAATGTTATATCAAAATTCTTATATTTGTTTATGAATTACTCTTATTAATACTTTTCATTGTTAAGAACTCCAAAATAGTTTGACAACAAATTTAAAGTTCATTGAAATAAACTGTCAAAAATATGTTTATTGTATGCTGTCAAGAGCATTTACCAGTAAGGCAGTAAGGGAAAAACATTAAAATGACTACACACAGCTCACAGTTCTCTGCTAAACCCCCCCCCCCGTGAATTACTATGTTGAGTGCAATTTTACACTAATGTTTTATTTTCAATAAAACATGAAAAACAACACATTGAAAAATAATTTAGCTTTCAGTAGTATTTTAGCTGAGTTGGGTGCTAGTATTTTAAAATTGTACAAGTTGGTCAGTAGCTTTCATTCTAATCAATTTTCAAGTTTTCTTTGACTTACAAATGTAATCTAATATGCAGTGACTTAAATTCTGCAAACTTGCCAATTACTGGCCAAATCAGCCAATTTGGCCAGTATTACAGCACTCACTAAACAAAATTTTATAATGGATATTTCTGCCAAAGTACAAATAGACTTCTCTGACTGATGATGGAGAACTCGGTCAAAATACACAAATGGGTTCAAATTTTGGAGATATTTATTTATCAAGTGATGTGATTTGTAGATATTGCTGAAAATATAGGACCATAAAATTAATTCTAACATTAGAATCAGAAGTCTGGGAAGTCTATTTATTCTATAAAATCCACTTGCATATTTTGCTTGAAAATATTGTACAGTAATGGCATTTTCTATTTCCTGCATTAGCCTTTGCAGGTTATGAATTCATTTAAGTTTTTATGCTTCACGAAACAGATCCTATGACCTGAAACTGAAACAAAAATTATTGTGAAGATTTTAGAAAAGATTGTATTTTATTGAGATTTTGTTATATTTCATTGTGTAGAATGCAGTCAAATGTAGTGCATCACCTTGCTTGTTGTACCCAAGGACATGAAGTAAGCCTATCTTAAAGGAAGTTAAGCTCAGTAATATATTGCTGGCAATTTGTTCAATTGGGCCAGTGTCATAATTATTGAAGTATTTGTCTTATTTGTTCCTCTCTTATGATTTCACTTTTATTTCTCTTCTTTCTTTTACCCATTTGTCCTCTTTCCCATTTTGTTGATTGTCATATTTATATAAGTATATACTTGTGGCTTCATATCTTAACCAAAAATTAGTTTTATTTTTCTCCACTGTTTCAAAATGATTTTTTGAGTTTTCATAATTTATTTTTTAAACTTAATATGTACTTGTTAATAAGAAGTTATTATTTACACAGGTCAACCAATGGATCCAAGTGCTGGGCGACCTGTGTATCCTAGGACACAGTATTCTATTTCACGAGCACACGTTACCCTTGATCCTGCTGCTGGTGCTACAGTGGCTGCTGTTGCCCCTGTAAGCAATACTGTTCCCCCGGAAGGCCCTTACGCTTTACAAGGAGGTTACGATGCTGTTGGTGTAGGTGGTGCCAATACACATGCAGTGCCGCTTTCAATGCCACAGTCTAGCCATCAGCAGCATGCTGCACAAATTGTGCCTCCTAGTGCATATGGGTCAGTAGTGCATTTATAAGTTTTTGTGATGTTCAAAAAGTTAATGTAACTCTCTATGTGTCACTAATTATATTATGACGAACTCAACCCTTTGTTTCACAAGTAATTTTATTGTTAATTTTGTAGTGCGGGGATGCAGGCTGTAGGAGTCGCAGGTGAAGCAGGAGCCTCAGGAACATTGGGAAAGCGAACCCAAGGCCATCCACTGAAGAGCTTTAGTGTTCCTGCACCTCCTCCTCAATCAGCCCCCTCCACACCCCAGCAAAAGCACATTGGTTAGTAAAGAGTGTCTCTTAATGTAGTTCTCAACTTTGTTTTACCCACTTGATATATTGGTGGGGTGTAGTTGGCTCTATACAGAGTGTTTCAGAAAGAGTATTACATACTCTGGAGGTCGAAATTTAGAATATTCTGAACTAAAAAAGGATAAATAAACATGTCTGGTTTTCAACTGGTATGCAGTTACAGGTCTTTGAAGTTGAAAATTCTTGCACCCCTTTTCAAAACCACTCAACATCATCACATGGGGGATTACACTAGTTGATCAGAATTTTGTCACTAGTTAATTCATCATTACATCAATTCATTATTACACGAATATTGCTCAGCAGTAAAGATGTTTTCAAAACAACATCCACTTGATGGTATCTAATCATTCGCATTCACATTCACATTAGTTGTCTGATGAAAATCTGTTCTATTGATTGAAGTACTTTCAATGTATTTTTTCCGTGAAGTCTGGTGCACTTTGATTGATAATCATTGATTCTGACTGTTATCTTACCAAACACATAACCTCACCATGAGATATAGTTCATATTCAGTTTATTTTCACCTAAACTATGATGAGAACACATCTCGTTCCTTTCAAACTTATGTGTGGAAATCTGAAGATTTTTGTTCCACTTGTAAATTTTTCAAAAATGGAGTGAGTTTCAATTATTCACATACGGCTATTATTATTAAAGTTTTTGTTAATAATAATAATAATAATAATAATAATAATAATAATAATAATTAATAATTGATGATGATAATATACCTAACAAATGTACTGCTACCATAGCATATACCTCTTTTGGTTCTGGTTGCAACAATATTTTTAATGAAAAATAATTGCTTCGGTTTCTCTCTCACTATTGAAATGATTTGGTTTGGTTCTTCTATGAAGTCTCCAATTGTATATAATAATAATTGAACTTAGAAATTTGTTTTAATTTTGATTATTTTCATACTCTTTTCTGGTAATTAAATATAACAGTTTTAGAGTATTGCATCCGTGTTCACTGAGACATATAACTCCAGGTAATTATATTCACTCACCAGTGGCAGCTCTTTGGGGTGGCAAAGTAGACATTACTTACTCTGTTGAATATGTACTAGTTAAATAGATTGCAGATATAATAAAATATAAATAACTCTTACAGTTTTAATATTGTGTCAGTATTTTTCATCAGGAAATATAAAATGAACATTGTATTATTGTATCACAAACTCGGATCTCATTTCAAGCAATTCATAACATTTCATAACTAGAACCCATACTTTTTGTCTTGTTTCCTCTTCCTGCAGCGACTTATACCTCTAGTGTGCCACTCTGGGTAGACATGTTTGGAGGTTGCTTCACTTTATGCTGTATTCTAAGAAAATGTCCAATAATAAGCATAGGGTGGTAGTAGTAGTACACATTGTCTTTGCTCCACCTATGGACGTTCTGCTTAAGTAGGCGAATTATCATTCTGCCTACCTGTACAGAAAACTTCAATTACCAGTCACATCATCAGCATTGCATGTCTGTTTAATCATCAAGTTAACAAATTGAGAAAGTATTTATTATTTACAAATCATTTATTCTTTTCTTTTGTGACTAAATTAGTATGCTACAGATTATTTGTGTGTTACTGGATTTTTTTGATTTAAATCTATTTTACATCAATATTGTCTGATACAGTGAATGAACTAGTACTCCACTTTTCTCAACTTAACTATGTAGATAAATGAAAATTTTCAACAGTATTGGTGACCTAGACCCATGTTGAATACAGTTCTAAATTGTGCTAATGAAAAAATGCAAAAATTTAATGCTGAAACAGGCAGACACTGAAAGTACTTCAGAGGGGCACAAATTACATTTCTGAGACTCCTTCCCTCCCTCCCTTTTTTCTTTATTACACACCTTTTTTCTTTATTACAGCTGTTTCTTCGGTGACAATCCGCCCGCAGGGTTCATGTAGCCCCTATAAGAAGGCAGGTCATCTTGCCAGTGGGACATCTGGAACAAGCACTCCACCTCCTGTAACCATTCCTTCTGCTCCTGGCAGTGCTGGTAGCAATAAAAGTGGGCGACCCACACCTGACAGCCATGCTCAGATGCAGGTACATCTGTACTTCCATTTAACTGCATTAAAATATTCTGTAATTGTTTTCTTATTATGCTATCTTATTAATGAATAAAATAAATTATTCATCTACATTGAAGAATGTGGGTTTTTATGGCGTATAGTTATTGACTATTTTAGTTTAGTATCTTTACTAAGGGTCCCTGTATGCCTACTTGATAGATTCTGATGTAGTGGGGCTTTTTCAGCCATCATATAGTACTGAGGAGCTCAATCAAGAAATGGCTAATTTGGAGGGTCTTATGAAGGACTTGAATGCTATAACAGCATCTGAATTTGAGTGCTGAGGTGAGTTAAACTTTAGCATTAAAATTCTATGAATAAAACAATATTACTTACTGCTTAATAATGTTACTATTGTCAGTGTTTAAATATATTTTTGTGTATAAGTATTTTATGACTAGTAAGAGTTGAAGTAGTTATTTTCCACACTAACGTATATGAATTTTTATGCTATTGAAATCTGAAGAAAAAATTAAAGTAATTGACATGACCATTTGTATCATTGTTGTGCAGTAGACAACATATTGTCACCTTCAATTTAAATTTTTATTTTTATTATTATTATTATTATTATTATTATTATTATTATTATTATTATTATTATTTTGTTGTTACTATGCACTAGCTTCACACACAGATTTCAGGTTTGTGGACTTTGTTGATACCACTACTGTTCAACTAATTCTGAAAAGTTTAATGTTGTGGGGTGAACAATATGATTTCTTTTTGTTTTCTGGGTCACTGAATGTGAAAATGATGCTTAAATAGATTTATTTGGTCTTGTTTTCAAGATAAGATGACTTATTATATGTAAGTTATAATTTCAAGTAAGAACAACATATTTTAAAATTTTAATACGTAATGGCTACCTTAGTATCATGCATTTTTGGCCTGTTGGGAGTATTACAGCCTGTCAGCTATTTCAGGAGCATTCCTTTGCATCACTAAACATGGCAGCACTCCACTTCCTTTTGAACTATCATTCCATCAGTCAAATGTCTTGATGGTAGTACTCAGCATGTTCATCGCTTATGTCACCACAAAATGAAAGAAATCCAGCCAAGAACGCAAAATCTGCATTTTTAGTGACATGTGTTGATTATGACAAATGGTACAGTCATAATACAGTCTGTATTTCATATTACCCTGTTAACAGAAATATTTTATAGTTCTCTTATTCAAATTGATGTAAGCAAAGTATGTCAATTTATCCCGTTTATTTTTGAGTAATAATCTGAAAATATAAATAAACATGAAATTGATTAGGATTAGGTCTTTGAATTCATTATACAATTTTTATTTTTTGAATATAATGAATTATTTGTATAATGAATAGAGATGAGTGTTTCATTGCCTTCACAAAAAAGAAATTCATAAATGACAACAATGAATTGAGCTTGTAGGGAATTAATTACTATAATAATTTTGTTGAAAAATAGGATTTTAGAGAATTCAAAAATATTGCTTATTGTTCTGTAATATGGTTGCTGCTTGAAGTTTCAAGTCACAATCCCAATAAAAGTGACAGATTTTCATCTTCATCACCTTCACCACTCTCGGTTTAGGGACAGATTTCGTGACCTTTGAGCACATAGGAAAGCAGTATTACTTCACACAGTGAAGTGTCCTGCTGTTACCATTTTGTTGTCGATCTCCCTGTGTCCCCTTTGCCTTTCAGTCTGTTGCTTGCGGGCAATCTGTTGCAATCACTGTTTGTCTATTCTTTGTACATGCCTTCTCCATTTCTCGCATGTTCTTTAATTTCTCTCACTAGGTATTCATTTTTCAGTTCTTTTTTAATTTTTGCATTTTGAATTTTGTCTGTTATTTTTACTTCTAATATTGACCTTAAAACATTGTTTGAGCTACTTCCAGGCTTCTGACCCATTATCCACATTTCTCAACCACACTTTTAATGTGGCTTTCAAAGTGTTATAATGAATTTTTCTAATTGTTTCTATCCTCATGTGTCCAAAATGTCTTTATTATTGTATTGTTTCTAATATATTCTTGTATTTTTTCTTCCATATTCTGTTGTTCTAATCCCATTTTATTTCAGAGATATATAATTTCAATAACTTGTTCTATTATTGAATTTTCTATTACTATTTTGGTTCAAATATGTTCTTTGCCAGTAGAAGGATAGCAATTTTGTATTATGGTGAGATATTCTTATGTATATTATTATGTTTCTATAGATTTTCTTTTGTTCATTAATTTTCAGAATACTCAAATGTTCATCTTTTCAACTGATACAAACTTGAATGAAAATGTTACAAACTTTACTTAGATCTAACAACTTACCACATTAGAATTAATAAACTTATGTCTTTTATCTTTAGAATCGCAGTTCCTTCAGGACCTAATATATTTTAGTTTCCTGAAACATTTCTTGTTTACATAGAAGTATTTTCATTGATGTTTCAAAGTCCCCATTTTCGTAACTAAAATTTTAATTTCGTTATTTTTCTAACCATCTCTATAATTACATTTTTACCCTTATACTTCCATTTTCACATAATTTTTTTCAGCTTGTTTCAACACTAATCCATAAGAATATATTTATATTATGAGGAATATATTTACATATAGGTGAGAGATAATCATAAGTTACATGCATGTAGTTTTGGGCTACAACTTGTTTAATGTTTGGCAAAAACACAAATCAATGAAGGGGAAAGACAATCAGTCAAATATAATCCTACAATATGACTAGAAAATGGACTGAATGGGAAGAGGATTGTTCAGAAAGAATCGCGGAATGGTCTATTTGAAAAACTCAATATTGTGGCTTACGACTATCTCTCACTGTTCATATATATTACTTTTATATTACTTATAATTCAAATATTATCAATTTTCTAGGTTGGCATGCTGCTAATTTTAGGCAAGAGTATGGGGACACTCAATAAGACTGGCCTAACTCATCACAGATAATCTTTCATGCTTAAAATGGCCATGAGTGGTTGTCGCTGTACCAGAGCTTAAAGCTTCATGCAGTCACCGTAGTGCTGAATCACTGGTTTCATCGTCTCCAGTAGGCCTAGACTTCTCCACTTGTGGAGTCACATGTGAAATGATTTTTTGTATGTTTTAGCAAGCCGGAAGTTTTCTTGGTAGTTGAAATTCATGAATATGGCATGCATTTCACTTGAAATATGATTTGTAAGACATTTTCAAAATTCATTTCCTGGGAAGAATGAAATTTCTCTTTTTTGGGGGTAATATTTCGTTGAGATTCTCTTCTTTCAGAATAGTATTTTTATACCATTGTAACTTAATTTGAATTTACCTACAACACTTAGAAAGAAATGTTTTCGTAAGAGCAATTGCATGACTGAATGTCAATTTTAATGACACAAATTTCTTTTTTATCATTATGTAAGAAGGATCTCACTTCAGATATAAAAATTATTTAGAATTAAGGCTGTAAACAGCACTTACAACTGCTTCATTCTTCCCAAAAAACTGAGAATCTGGAAATATTCACTATATCATGTAATGCTATTTTTGTATGAAATATAAAAATAGGGTGTTCCAAAATTTTTTCTTGGAATGACAACTTCACAAAAACAATCACTGCCCTCATATATAGTTGTTACTGTGATCTATTTGTGTAATGAATTGTATGGAGATACTGAGGGCAAACGGAATTCTTGCGAATCTGTTACTTCTGTGTTGACAGAATACGTTAATTTTTTTTTATAATTTAGCTTTGGAGATCACATATCACCTGCAATCACTTGCACTTTTCTGGAACACTCATTCCATAAGCGTTTATAAGCTGTGGACTAAAATGTGTGGTGTCTAAGATGACCAGTATAAAACAAGTTGATATATGAAGATAATCAGTGATTGACTTTCTGCATTTCACATGGGAACACACATTGAGAAGCAGTGTGCTCAAGAATCCAAGACTTGTGCCTGTGTAGAAAAAATGCCTTCCTGAATGAAATTTTGACAAAAACTGGTTATTTTGACCCTATAATTGTCAAAAAAAATTTCTGTAAGATATCGTATTTGTGTGTGTGTTGCATATGTGGTATAGAATTAGGATTATCTCTTCCTTTGAGAAGAGTGTGCCATGTTTATACAAGACTTTGTACCATTGTTGAGTAGTGGTACTATCTGAATATGTATGTGAGTGTGTGCATGTGTGTATGATATCAATAAGAGGGACAGAAACAATAGCTGCAGCTTCTGCAATCAATACCCAGTGAGTGAATGTTAAATGTTTATATAAGTTTGCTCATGGACATCAAGAAAGTGTATTATTGAAGTTGAGAGGGAATGGTGAAATGGTATGTCTGCATTGAATTTCACAAGAAGAAAGTTTTACTTAGTGTTTTTATATGCATATAAAATATCTATACATAAGAAACTTACACTGGATGCTCCCTAAATGTATATGACTCATAAAACTGCTCCACAGACAGATCAAATGAATTTTTAGTGAGTATTGTCTGATTTATTTGTGCATATTTTACATTTTTAGACAGTTTTTACTATTTGTACTGATGATTTATTATTTAACTTAGTGACAAACATTGTGAAATCAGGTGTATTCTTTAATCATTTCAATAAAATATTCAAGCAGTGTTCTCAGAAAAAACTTTAAGAAAGGAAAGAGACCAAGGAACACAAACAGAATTGTCATTCAACAAATTGTGACCATCTAAATGTTTTCTGGTTTCTCAGTTTGATCAGTACTACTGAAACTGGTGAAGTCAACTAGTACTATGATGTGTATGAAATCAATGTTTTACATTAAATGTACACATTTTGCTTTTGTATTTCTGGTGTTCCAGTTTATATAAAGTTGATAGTGATAAAGTGTAGCAAATTTGTACTTTAGATTACATTGATTTCCATTCCTGTGACATATTGACATATTTATATGATGTTAACAGCATATCTGCTTGACAGAAATGTTATAAACAAAATGTCCAGTATCATTTTTCACTATATTCAATCACAAGAATCCAGTCTCTTTTGCCTGTTCACGCTGATTTAATGATAATGTTTTCCTGTGGAACCTTTGATTAATTTGTCAGTTCTTATTAACTTGGTGTTTTGACAATAATTATATTGTTAAAATGTCATATGTGATATTATCAACATGGAAAAAATAATTCTAAGACCTGTTGGTTCTTTTATATGTGTTGCACTGCTGCATGGCATTCTTGTGGGAAAAATTCAGTTACTGCTCTTGTAACAGTTTGGTAGAGAGATTGTTAGAAATTGAGAAAAATATTACCTTTTGAATGAAAGTCCTTTGAAATTTCCCTTTCCCTTTTTTTAATTCAAAGTATATGAATAGATATAATAAATTATTTCTGTCCTTCCAGATGCACCACTGTTTTTTGAAAAATTATGGATATTTTTGGGCAAAGTACACATATCAAAAAATATTAATATTTCAAATACTTGAAAAATTTAACATTTCTTAAAAACAAATTATATAGTGGATAAAAAATAGAAAATTTTATTATGGTAACTTAACTTCTTCTTTGAAACAATTTGTACACTGTGACTTCTACAGGTGATCTTGGAAAGAAGGAAATAACACATTTGCCAAATAGTGAGTCATTCTGTTATCAGTTGAGCTCTCAAACTTCAAATGCCAAAAGACCTTTTATGCTTTTGTCAATATTGCCTGGTTTGAGATTTTGCAACATCATCTAGATAATTTGAGAAAATATTTTCTGGCCTTCATGTCCTTTCATTTTGTGCTTTCTGAGCGTTACCAATCCGTTTTTTACATTTCTCTGGAGCTGATTCAGAACAGGTTATTATTATTACTTAAGTCTCTTGTGAATGAAATATTCCTTTGCAATCAACTATTATATATGAAGCAAATAGATATGTAGTATCGGATCAGATAAAAATTTGAAGATATTAAAAATATTAAAAGCTTCTTTCTTGCATGTTGTTGACAAAGCAGAATGCAAAACAAAAATATATATTTATTGATTTGTAAAATTTTGTACAAAATTTTCAAGATGTTAAAATATTTGATGTCTCCTACTGCATGAATCGGCCAAATAACATTTCTTACATCATGTGAGCAAGGCAAATATTTCTGCACATTGTGAGTCATTATCCAAGGGTGCTAATATTTTCATGTATTCCAAATGTATGATCTTGATGAAAAAGAAAGAAAATAAACCCATATAGATATACATATCAATAGAACAAAGAGATAATTGCAATTGACAGAATGACATTAATAATCAAGGAAAACATACTTATTAATAGGGACAACGTTAAAATAATTGTTTGCAGAGATAACTTACTTAAAAGCAAATGTGATTTGCTGTAACTTTGATTCTTAAATTGTGTATTATTATTTCTTGCTTTAGTTCTGACCAAACTTCTACAAAGAATAAAGATTACTGAAACCTCAGTGATGCAGATTATTCCACAGGCACAACGTTGCATGCATTATACATGGATCGTACAATTTAAATAAATTAACTTCTAATCAGGAAAGTAACTGAATTCTCTCTCATAATAGTCTGTGATATAGCTTTTCAAGTGATAGAAGCTACATGAATTAGGTAAGTGTCCTAGCCTAATAATTCTATTGAAATTGGATCCAATGAATGATAGTTGATGAAGATAAATGATGAAAAGCTGCTGATAACTTTCTCCACCATGATAAGATTCATTATTTTCGATCAATACACACATTGTTTTCCTGACCAGTTTTCAAGTTATGAAGCCTTTGATCTCTTTTTAAATTCGTAATTGTGAAAATAATAATTATATTTAATTTCACATTTATATATGTGAAATTAATATATAGTTCACAAAATTTGCATGGTATGCACAATTTTTTTGCTGTAGTGTTCTGGAAATGGGTTTACTTTGATTAAAATTGATATATATTTATTTAGAGAATAAAGAATTGCAGAAATTGTTTCAAAATTTGAAAGATTAAACACGCATATATATTCAATATCCTTAATGTTACTTATTGCCTTTCCATTTACGGCAAAGTAACAACATGATATTATACTTATTGGAAACTAGTATTTTAATAAATCAGAATACCTCTGAGGCTGGAACCCTTGGTATTCTTTTGTATTGTATATAATAATAAAGACTGAATTCAATGCTGCATGTCAACTCATTGTTCTCCTCACATCATATGATATTTTGATCTTCAGATTTTTATCATTGAATTGTGCCGCATTACCTTTCACCATCTATGGTTTACCTATTTCCACTTACACTAATATGAATTATTTTAGATTTTTTTATTTTTGAATTATACAATATTTTTATTCTTTTTAAAACTTTATTTGAGGGCCTGTTGTAGTTTATAAGACTTAACTCATACATTTTGTTTGTTATTCATTCTTCATATTATGTATTGTGGAGATCCTCTTTGGTATATAGTTTTAATAAATGAAAATTTACTCGTCTAAGAACACTGCTTTGAATATTTCCTGTAGAATGAATATTGAGTGAATCCAGTAAAAATCAACTTTTTTAGCATGTTCCAATAGTAATGAAATATTAAAATTATTTTATTAATGATCACCATGGAAGCTGTAGATTATCATCTAAACAATATTATATTTCAAAGTTTTCTTTTGGAGATTTTTATTTGAATGATTTACTTGTAGTTTATTAAAATACAGAATAATGAATTATACATAATAATGAAGTCTAAAAACAGTGCACATAATTAATAAACTATGTTTCTGTGATTTGAAAAGTAACATATTAAGACTTTCCCAATTACTCTATTTTTGAATTAATGTTTCAAGCAATGAACATGCTAGAAATGAAAAACTGGAAACAGTTATCAGTATTCTCAAAAACACGGTATTGGCATATGAAGTATTCATAAACATGTAGTCCATGTTCATTTCTGTTATATGGTTGTATCGTGATTTGTTATTGATAATGTATATTTGTCCTAATGCTTTGTCTGTACTGAAAAGCAGCTACACTGCCAAACAAAGGCTGCACTCAGTTTTGTATTGAGTCATACTCAAAATTTGTGGAAAAATATAAGAAAAAATATACAAAAATCTTTTTGATGCTCTTTTTTTTCCATCTTGAGTATTTATGCACATGCTACTCTAATGTCATTTCCAAAATTTATGATTCATATTTCCCATACTTTTTTTAAAAAGATACAAAGGTTCTCTATATTAATTTAATTATCTTTCAGCTTTGTGACTAATGAATTCAAAAGGCACAGAAAACATTTCTGAGAAACTGTAATGGATTTGAATAGTAGGGTGATGGATATACATCTACATGATAACTATTATAAGCCTGAGTAGTTTGGTTGAAAGTTTAGAATTCATTTATATGAATGGCTTTGATATTTATACTAAGCAGTAAGTACATTTGACCAAAGTGCTTTGTCCAACATTGAAAAAGAAAATTTCATGTCCGGTTTTGAAACATCTTCCTGGATTGCATCATCAATACAATAGTGATGATATCTTTTTTTTCCTAAATGAAATCTGTTCTTCAACATTTTATGATCTTTTAATAAGATCATATCATCATTAAGATCATAAGATCATTCAGGGTTGCCAACAGCCTGAAACTGTCACCAATAACAGTAATAATATGTACAATTCTAAGAAAGTGGTAAGTAATTGACTTTACCATCACTGATAGATTTTACCCTCTTTACCAGCTACAAGAATACTGAATTTTGTACTAGGGTGAATCATTGTAAACATTAGAACTCTTAAAAATAAACCAAGGATGTGGTTTGTCTTCATGCAACTTCAGTATTTATTTGAACAAAATGATGAGATCATACAATGTGATATTTCAATCCAACATATGCTTTAGAAACAAAACGTAGAAGGTTGAAAGAAGATTAAGAGGCTTCCCAATGAATATATGTAATCAGTACGACCTCTATAGGTACCTATACATATTATGTAATTATTTACTTAGGTGAAAAAAACAGTTTCATCTTTTGGTATTACAAAATAATGTTCTTTTATAATACAATAGGTAAAAATTATCTATAGCAATAATAGTTTACAAAACATGACAATTTCTTCCTTCAAGGCTGGGAAAATGCAAATGAAACAACTAACATATTAAAATCTGTTCCTCAAGCTGTGTCATAAGCATAGACAAGAATTTTGTTGAGGGGGGGAGCAAAATAAATATTATTAATGAAGTACAAATGGAATAAAATAGTAATTCATTCAATAAACAAATAATGAATTAATTTATAAATACTATGTTTTCCTGAATATAAGACAACTCCCTAATTTTGGAGAGGCATCCTGAGATTTTTTTATATTTTAACCAATCTTACTATTTAGTAGAAATAAAATTGCATATTGTCTAATTTACTAAAAAATCGT